AAATTATATGAAACCTGTCGCAAGCAATATCTACTGTTGTTGAAGAACCTTCTCCAAACTCACCTACATTTCCATAAGAAACAGCAGTTGTATATTCGTAAGTTCCAGGAACTATTTCTGACCTTCTAATGGCATTGTCGCATTCGTTATACCATTCGGAAACATTTCCATTCATGGCATCCAAAACTGTTGGCGTTATATTCTGAGCGGCGTACATTTCATATGGGTAAAAATATAGAATAGTTGGATTTATTTGTCATAATAGAACCCACGTGGACCAAGCTTTACTTTCTTCCTGGCTGAGTTTTTAACTCTTCTTTTTCCTTCATTGCCACTACTTTCACTAGATGAAGTTACTTCTTCACTACTTTCACTTTGTTCTACTCTTCTCTTCTTCTTTGGTAACTTGCCCTCTGCTTTAAGTTGTTGCATCTTTGCCTCATGTTCACCTAGTATGTTGTAAATTTCCCATGTCCTTTTTGCCTTTGGGCTCTGGTCGCCCATCTCAGGTAACCTATATCCTAGAAAGATTTTGTCATAGTTTGTATTTGAGTCTTCGCGTATTGTTTGCATGACTCTTTCCTGAGTTTCCGGTTCAAGCTCTTCAAATATAGCTTGTCCATATGGAATAACTTGTTTCCAATATATGTTTTTTGTAGCCATTCTGTTTTCTTTCCATGTTACCAACAATATCTTTTGTGAATGGGAAAGCTTTTACCCAATGTTTCAGTCTTGCGTCATTTATTTCTGTAGTTGGTTTTATTTTGTCAAGGAACATGTTTTTCAATACTAACATTTCATTTGGTACTGTCCATTTGAGTTTTCTTAAATATTCATCCCTTCTCGGTTCATTGTCTGCAAAGTAAGTTTTTATGACATTTTGTAAACTTTCGTTTGCAAGGTCATGTACAATAGGTTCTCTTCCTTCTGTCTCCCTAACTTTCTTTCTAAACTCTTCACCAAATATACCATCTCTATGGTTCTGTGTAGTTCTTTGAGATAAATGTTCTAGAACGTCAGGTGTTATATTTCCATCAGCCATGTTCATTTCATACTGGTTCAAAATATCTGCATCTTTCATATCTTTCAATGGCATTAAAGCCGCGCTGAAAATACCAGCTAAATCTGGTTCACCATTCACTTCCATTGCGTCTACAACTTCTTGGAATTGTGGTTGTAAGTTTATGAACCACCTATCCGGGTTAGCTTTATGACCCCATCTCATTGTAGTTCCATAGTCTGCAGAAACAAAAGTAGGTTTGTTTCCATATTGGGTTAGGTTCTGAATGAACTTTAAACAATGTTTCATTTCTATATGTTTTGTTGAAATTTAACCTTTTATTTTCACCGAGTTCATCCAAAGATTGAACGTTATATGCTCGTAAGTAAAAAGGGTTGTTTGTATTTGTGTACATTTTCTTTCAGTACTTCCATTCTATGCTGAATATTTTCATCTGTGTTGGAGTCTTTTGTATGTCGGCAAACATTTTTTCGATATTCTTCTACTCTGTCAGCCGAATTTTTCTTAAACTCTTGGAAAGATTCCATATTCACCTCATACTCTTGTTGAGGGTCAAGATTTTTTCGGCTGTTCCAAATCTTCATCTAGTTCTGTGAAGTTAGTTTCCAAAGGAGGGACTTGTTCGTTTCCTTCAGGCTCTTCTAGCTTGTTGTTGCTGAACTATTTCTTCCATGTCTGGTTGTATCTGAACTTCTTCCTGTGGAGTTTCTTGTACCTCATCTGCTGGCATTTCATATATTCCGAGACCGTTTTTAACAAGTTCCCTATCTAAGTCATCCGGACTCATAAACCTTTCTTCTTTCGTTCCGTTCTCTATTTTTTACGCGTTTCATGAAGAGAGTTGAATTGTCATTTAGCTCTGACACCAAATATCTCGGAGTAAATTCAGTCATGTCATTTGGATGATATGCTATTAAATCATATCCCTTAGCGAGCTTGTATTTTCCAGGTTTGAAATTATATCCCATTTGGTGCTGAACCATAAAGCTAAATAGGTTCGGGTCAGTATTTCCTTCCTTTGAACTTTCTAATAGCTTCTTTATATCTGTCACTAAAGTCAAGGAGTATCTGGGTAACCATAGTCTTCTTTAACCCATTTTTAAGAAATCTTGGTTTCCTTGTTCTCTACTTCTTTTATGTCCTTGCTCTGTTTTGGTTGGTTTGGTGCACGGTTGGTTTTGTGCAGGGTTTTGAACTGTTGGTTGCTGTGCAGTGTTTTGAACTGTTGGTTGTGGTGCTGGATTTTGAACTGTTGGTTGTTGTGTTGGTTTTGGTGCATGCCTGTGTCTGTGTCCATGTGACGATGTAAATGTGTTAGGTAGTCCTGGTGCAGGTGCTTCTCTTGGAGGGTTTTGGTGGTATATAAGTTCCACCAGCTGGCACATATGTTCCATCTGCAGCATAATGTCCTACCTGACTTTTCGTTTTTAAGAAAGCATTTACTAGGTCTGTTTTGGTCTGTTGTAACTCTTTTTCTTGACTTTCCACAACAGTTGCTCTAACGGCGTCATAGGCACTTTGAACTGCCTGTCTCGTTGCTGCATCTGTTATTTTCGTCATATTTTGTGCTACTTCTCTTAACTCTTTGTCGAAACCTTCAGACTTCAGTTTCTTTCCAGATGAGAAGTCGTTCACTAGTTTCACCTTACTATGAAGAGCTTCGAAGGCGTTCTTAAAGTCAGCATTTGTTAAAGCTTCATTTGAACTGTCTTCATCCGCTTGTATTTTTGTCCTTATTGACCCTATAAGCTGGGCTGCTTTAGCGTTGGCTTGGGCATCTAACCAGTCATTGTTAGCTTTTATATATTCTGCGCTTTTCATTGCCTTTTGCATGGCTGCGTCGTTATTTTTACTTTCTTGTGCTAAGTTTTCATACTGTACGGTTTGGTTTTGCAACTGTAAAAGTTTTTCTGCCTTTACATTTGCTTCAACTTCTTTTTTATACTCATCGCTATCCATATATGTCTTCATGGCTTTTTGTTTTATCTCTTCATCTTTCAGTACTTTATATTGAGTAGTATGGTTTTTCAAATTTACAACATCTTGTTCCATTTTTGCTACTTCTGCTGCTTTTTCTGACACTTTTTTCGCATATTCCTCTGTACTTAGTTTTTCAGTTGTTCTTCTTTCTTCTTTTTCTCTACGTTTAACTCATTGAGTTTCTTTGTGTGTCTGTCATATTCTAGTTTCTTTTCGTTTTCACTTATTTGTTTCTGTATGTCTATGTTTGACTTTTTGACATCTGATATTTGATTTTTGAGTGAACTCAAATTCATTTGACTTTGAGGGTTATAGGCTGTTCCGTCTGCAGCTCCACCATAGCCTGCCATTTTCGCTAAAAGTGCCGCTCTTAAACCTCCACTCTGTGCACCAAGAACTCGGTTTAAGAGCATAGGGTTGCTTGACATTTGTTGCAACATAGTGGGGTCATTCAGCATTTGTTGTTGCAACTGTTGTTGTGGTGTCAGTTTTACTATTGGATGTTTCAATGCTCTCTTCCTCTTACGTATATTCTTACGTAGCTTACGTGGCATTTTAAGTGAAGTTAAAAAGCGGTTTTTGACAGATGTTTATATGACACTATTTGTTCAGCACAAAAAACTACTCGGTCAAAGTGTTGTCAGTTTTGTAAAATAACCGTCCTATCTCATTCTATAAGGGGGGAAAGGCTTCTCAAAGTATACTTCCTTGGAACGCCTGTAACTTTTCCTGTAGCGACGATAGACCCTTACTTGTCCGGACAAAGTTATACTATTTTGAGCGCTCTACAAAAAAGTCACTGGCTGGTCGGCTGGGGTTCGGTCCTCCTCTTGGGTCTTGGGCAAAATTTCTTATGGGCTAGAGGGCGCAACGCGCCTGGAAGCCCTCCGAATATAAACTTCATTTATACTAAACATCTTCAGGGCTAGAGGGCGCAACGCGCCTGGAAGCCCCACTACCTTTTTTTTTTTTTTTTTTTTTTTAATAATACATATTATTATATAATTAACATATTCATAATGTTTCACACTTTCAAAAATATAATCCTCCTCCTCTCAAATAAACGTACATACGGGTGGCCTCTTTTTTCAAAAAATTAAAATTTGAAATTTTGGGCTCAAATATTAGAGATTTTTTCAACCTTCAACGATATATGTTGTCTATATCAGACCTCCTTTCTTTTTGATACTTAACATTGTTCCTAAATCTTAGCCGTTAAGGCTGTTCTGAAAATATTTTTTTTTTGAAAAAATTCGAAAAAAATTCTTAAAATTCAAAAATCCCTTAATTCCTGAGGATTTTGGAAAAAAGTTTTTACATGAACATGTGTATATTATATGAAGTATATTGATAAGGTAAAAATCAAATTTTATTGCATATTCATTGAGAAAATAAACTAACGAATCCCTCAAAATTGAGAGGGTAATCCTCCTCCTCTCAAATAAACGTACATACGGGTGCACCTTTAATGCTGACAACAATGAAGAGAACAACGAGAACCAAGAAAACAACGAAGAAGCAGATGCCCTCGACCCGCCAAACAACTTAACAGAGACAGAAGATGAAGGATGAAAAAAAATGAAAAAAAAAAAGAAAAAATGGGGCGAGCCGGGAATTGTAAGTGTTTATTCGGAAAGGGTTAAGACGAGCGAGCGAAGCGAGCGAGCAAAGTTTTAGGTGAGCGAGCGAAGCGAGCTACTTGGGTGGAGGTGGGGCAGGATTTGGTCTAGGTGGATTTGTTGTTGGTGGTTTTCACTCCAATGAGTGTATCATGGATGTGGTGCTAGTCTGTTATCAGACCATACGGACTGATGGATGGGAGGTTAATATTATTATCTGTTTGAGGGAGGGTGAGTAATTTTCGTGGTGTCTCTTTTATTTTGGCTTGTGATTCCTAGCACGGAATCCGGTGTTTGGTACACGTTTCGTACCGAGTGACATCGCTTAAGCTCTGCCAATCCTACTATGCTTCTGTTCTTCTCACTCGTCTTATCTCTTCTTAGTTAAGGAATTCGTCCTCATCGGGTTGGTCTAAGGCTTGTTCTATCGCGTTGTTCTCAGCATCTTCTTCGATGATTTGATCAACAGAGATAGTTTGTTCGGTTGAATTATTTATTTGTTCGCCTTGGCCATTGTCTTCTTGAGCATTTCCATTGTTGGTTGGTTGCTCTTCAGAGGTTGCCTGTTGGTTCTCCTGACCATGATCTGTGTCGTTATTGTTTTCATTGTTGTTTGGTGGGATCGCTGCATTGGGAGCTGTGACTAGTCCTGGGAGGGGACGGCAGCGCATACCGAAGAATTCTGGCACTTTTTCAAAAACAATGCAAGCACTCGCAGCTATCGCGTGCATCGAAAGTCTCTTGAGTAGCTGTATGTGATCTGCAGGTGAGATTCTCAATGCGTCGAGTTTTGTACGGAGAGGGATGACTCCTAGTGATGAGACTACGATAATTGAGAGCGTCGTGGTCCAGTTAAATAATCTCTCTGTTTGTTCAGCAAGGCTCTTATACTTGTTAACCTTTTTGTCGTATGCCGCGTCAAGAGAGTTGCCAACATTGTTGTCCGTGCCGTAAGGGCATGTGACTTCAATGATCTTGATCATCTTGTTCGCTTCATCGTAGACAACAAGGTCTGGGAGGAGATCTTTAACTGTGTCGTCGAGCTCTGGGCCTGTTGTTTGGTAGCCGTCACTTGTAATTCTCGCCGAGCATTTGATGGTTACTCCTGGATAGTGATCGTGAATGAATTGGTAAATGTCATCGCATATGATATTGTGGCGCCATTTGTATAGACTGAAACGGTTTCTGCACATGTTCAATGTGTGGAAGAGAGTGCAGGATTGGCATCCGCACAATGGACAATTAGCCAAAACTTCTGGGTTGTGGAAGTGCATGTTTGCTGGGGTTGGAGCTGTGTTTGTACGGAGAGCAATAGCCGCTGAGTAGAGGTTGTTTGGAACAGCTTGTGGTCTCTTCATGATGTCGTGTGACTCCGCTAGCGCTGCTGGTTCGCAGAAAGTGTGTGAGTGTGTTTCGTCTTTCTTGAACTCCTCGTACTGCCTCTGTTGGATGACGCGACCGATTAAGGGTGAGATTTGGCCGATGTGTTTCGAGCGGTACCAGTCTGTTGCATTTTCTCCTACACCTCTGACTTGTATGCCTCCTTTGTCCCATTCTTTGAATCTGACTTCCAGTTTGTCTGCTGCTTTAGCCGCCTGTGTGATGAAACAATTTGTGCGTTTGGATCTTTCGTTCTTCTGGACAATTTTGCCGTTTTCCATCTTGATGCCTAAGAAACCATTTTCTTGGTCTTCGACGACCTTGCGGAATGACTTCTCTTCTTGAGCCATTGTGTGAAAGAAGGCTTTGGTTTCTGCTTGTTGACTTAACCATAACCTCGCAAATTTAGTGAGAACGAGCTGAGGCTGGCGAAGTTCCAATTTAACGAGTCCAAAGCCGCCTTTGTTCTTCGGCATGTAGAAAAATGAAACCGGAATGTTTGACGTCGGCGCTTCTTTGTCGATCAGGCCTCGGATCATCTGATCTGTCGCTTTCAAGTCATTGACTCTGAATACGTTGTGGAACATGTAAAAGTCAAGTTGTGGCAAGATGAAGACTCTGAGAGCGATAATCTTCTGAGAGAGAGCGAGATGTGACGCGAAGACGACTCTGATCTGTGCTTTGACCTTTTCCAGAATGCCAGTTGCAGCTGCAAATCTTGATGTCTTTGTTCCAGAGATTGGTATTCCAAGATATGTGATGTTGTCCATGCTCGTCTTGATTGGGATTTCGTCTGGACCAATGCGGAAAGGTTGGATTGCAGTGGATGTTTTGGCAAGTGTGACGCATTTCTGTGGTGCAACTTTGAGTTTCGCAATTTTCTGGAATTCATCTACTGTGTTTAAGATTCTTTGCATTCCTTCATGTGTTGGAGAGATGACTAGAACGTCGTCAGCGTAAGCTTGAATGGCAATTGAATACTGTCCTGCTTTGTCTTGGAATCTGTAACCGTCCTCAAAGTGTCTCCTCTGGACTGCATATAATAAAGGATCTAAGCAGCAGTTGAAGAGGATTGGACTGAGTGGACAGCCTTGGATGACACCTCTGCGAACCGGAACTATCTCGGAGTGTGCATGTCTTGTATAGATAGCCGTTCTTGCTCCTTTGTAGAGGTCCTTGAGCAGATTGATGATCGAATCGGGAACTTTCTTCGCTTCGAGAGAATCAAAGATCAATTGATGAGGAACTGTGCCGAAAGCGTTCGTGAAATCGATTGCTGTTTGGAACATTTCAGACTGTGTTCTGGTTGATTGGCAAAGGACTTCGTTCGCGACTGCAATGTGCTCACTCAGTGTTGCTCCGCGAACGAAACCTTTTTGCATTGCGTGGAACATTGGGATCATCTGTAACGCTTTGTTGACTAAAGTCATGAAGATTCTGTAAGTGCATGACGTGATGCCGATTGGTCTCCAGTTCTTTGCTAACGATGGGTCGTCCTTCTTAAAAAGCATCACTGTCTTGGAGAGCTTCCAGCAGTCTGGGATGTGACCTGATATGATGATTGATCTGAATAATATACTGAGGAATTTTGCGGCGCTGACTGGGAATAGCATGTAAACTGAGTTCGGAATTCCATCGAGGCCGTGTGCCGATAAATGATTCTTGTTGCGGATTACTTCGATGATCTTCGATTCATTTGTCATGAAGTCGAGGAAGTCGTTTGCGAAAGCTTGGCCATATCTCTCCGGTAACGCGTAGTCATGATGCAGGAAGTTTTCGTAGCCTTCAGCTTCGTTTGCCCATTGAGGTCCGTAGTAATCAAGGTATTCGCTTGGCTTCAATGATTGTTGTGGAACTTTGTCGGCTAAGATTATGTTTCTGAGAGTCTTTGTTGGGTTATCGGCGAAACATGCTTGTAACTTCTTCCTTGCATATGGTGATGCATCCTGTGGTGTTCCGAGAATTCGGTTAATGTAATCCATTTTCTTGATGAATTCGTTGTTGTCCTCCATGTTGACGATGTTGAGAATACTCTGGTCGGAGATCGGTCCTTGAAATATTTCTTCAATGTTATATTGTTCGAATTTGTTATCTCTGAGATCGTTTTTGATTTTTGCAATCATTTCGACGAATTTATTGTGTTCATCGTCTCTCGTGCTGTCTTTGAGGCATCTCGCGTGACTTATGTGTTTGACTACTTTGATGAGAGTTCCTTTTATTTCATTGGCTGCTTTTTGAATGCGATCCTTGTGTCTTCCGATATCCTTGGCGGTGGTGCTGTGTCTTCTCCTGTGTCTTCTCCATTTTCTGCTGTCATAAACTTTGGTTCGCTGTGGTTATTGGTGTAGATCATTTCTCTCAAGGCGGCATTGCATTTTAGTGTCAAGTAATCTACCTTGATTTTGTCTGCTTCTGTATTTCCTGTAGCTGCGTATCTTGTGGCTAATGGAGTGAGTTTCTTGTTGAAAAGTTCTCCTCCTCCTTTCAATAGTTTTAATCGGACGAGTGATGTCATTTTCGGTGTAACGCAGCCTCTCTCTTCTGCTTGTTGGAGTTCTGGAATGTTTCTTCTTGCCTCGGCGATGATGGCTACCTCTTCCTCTTCTGTTGCTGGTGGATTGATGATGACGGCATGAACCGCTTCATCTTCTGTCTCTGTTGTGTTATTTGGCGGGTCGAGGGCATCTGCTTCTTCGTTGTTTCCGTTGTCTTCTTGGTTCTCGTTGTTCTCTTCATTGTTGTCAGCATTAATTATCTGTTGTACTGGAGTGTTGTCTACTTGCTCTGCTCTTTCTCTTGCTCTCTCGGCATGTAATGCGTCGAGTTCTTCTTTGGTAATCCAGCAGTATGTAGCATCAGTGTGCGCGATTTCTCCGTCTACTCCTGCTGTTGTAGACTTATGTTTCTTCTTTAGATGTTCTTTGATGTCGCTCAATTCTGTTACATATGTGTTGCATCCTGCTTCTGGACATTTGCGACAAGCGTGTTCTTTGATGTCTTTGAGTGTCGGGTAGACGATTCCTTTTGGTCGGTTGACTCCTTCTATGACAATACCCCAAAAGAAGCCGTATCTCTCGATGTATACGTTCTTGGCGTGTTTCTTCGTTTTCATGTGGTCCATGAGTTTTGATCTGTCGTTGTTCGTGTATGAGCAGTCTGCATAAGGGCATTTGAATACGTGCGTATCAAGGTCGATGTTTCCGTTTTCATCTTTGTAGACAAACGTGCCTGTGCCATAGGCTTGGGCCAAAAATTCAACCCAGATGTCTATGGTGTGAACCTTTGGGTCAAAGCTCGTTTTCGCGATTTCTCCTTTGAAGTGGTCGCAAAGTTTTCTCAGTGATTCGAATGCCTTGTCTTCGTGTCCTTCGTATGATTCAAGTGGGCATCTAAGACCTGGTTTTGGTAATTTCCCTTCTTCTACTAGGAAATATACAAAGATTGGTGTATCTTCGGCGATAACCTCTTTGTTGACTCTGTAGTCTTTAATCGTTGTGTAGAAACGTTCTAAGTCTTCAAGTGTTTTGATGTTCGTTAAGTAGTCTTCACATTGTATTAAAAATTCTGTAAGTTTTTCGGCTGAGTTAATGTATCTTCCATTGTTGTTCTGGCTGTTCGTTGTATCATGTTCTTCTGCGTTGGCTAGAGCTCCTTCGACAAAATCTGGGCTGTAATCGATGTCTTTATCAGCAATTAGTTCCTTATTGTTCAGTGATTTAATCGGGATATTGTGTGCGCTGAAATCTCTTAAAAGTAGAGTCAGAATTCCGAGATCTCCTTTTGGTGGTTCATCCATGCATGGTACAAACCTGAGTTGACAGGTGTCTGTGATGATTATGGATGGTTTCCGATCTGTTCCTGGTGGACTTGGAGGGAATGCTTCTTCAATTGTTTCTATGGCTTCTCTTCCTACGATAAGTCTGAATCTGTTTGTTTCTTCAAGTGTGTCAAAAATTGCGACTTGTGTTTCTGGAAATAAATTTTGTACTGTTGGTTTGTCGATAGTTTTGTAAAGGCGTAAAATGTCGTTGAAAAAGAAAGATATATCTGGTGATAATTTTTCTGTGAGATGTGAAATCATATGGATGGCATGATCTTCTGCTTCGGTGAATAACTCGTCGCAATACAAGCATCTGTATTTTAGAGGGTTAAGTTCTTCGATGCCTGTCTTGTCTATTTTGATGGCCGTTATTCTTCTAAATGTGTCTTCTGTTGTTTCAAATGTATTGATCATGGGGTCAGTGTTATGGTGCTCTCTGATGTGTTCAACCATTCTTTCACAATTGTCACAATGGAAATTACAGCCATCAGCGTTACAGTGGAACGGTTCTGTACTCAAGTCACGGTCTTCAGGTGAGAACATGGATGCGACTAACAAACTGATGGGCAATGATGCGATGGATTGGCTAAATAATTTTTCCGAAATCCAGTAATTCTCTATTTCTTTCGGGTAATCTAATCTGAACTCCATCTTCGATAGGCTCCTGATTAAGTCGGAGTAATTTTCTGGATTCAACGCTGCAATATTTTTCAAAACGATATCTAAATTTTGTTCCTCAGGCTTCAAAATCGTTTTCGCGGTTGGCGTGAAACTGTCTGTTATAGCTGTGTTGCCACAGTACACGTACGATTGCAGTGGAAGCTTCTCGGGACCTCCTGTACCCAAAACAGGAATCATACCACTAGACTACTCACCCTTCTTAATGATTTATAAGGATTTTAATCCTTAATCAAATCTTCAAATTATTATTACTAATATGGATCTTGAAGGATCAAATTCTCGGATCAAATGTCAAATAACCTTCATCAAAAGATTCATAAAAAGTTATACTAATAAAATATTTTAAAAACCTCGTTGATTATAACACTATAAAGTGCCTTAATTCTATCGGCGCGGAGCGCCGATAGAATGGTCTAAAAATCACTTTTCCGAATTAATAAACGTCATAAATTTCATTTTTCTTATTGAAATTCAGTTTTTAAAATTCTTATATGATAGTGATTGAAATAACAATTAATATGTTAATTCAAAAACCATGCTCTCAATTTTGAGATTGTCTGTTTGTATAAAATTCTATTGATGAAGCGTACGTTTAAGTTTAGATTCTTCAATGTCTCAGGCCCTTCGCGCCTTACCTACACGCAAAACAAACATGGATCAAGTTACACACCAACGCGTTGCATTAAGCAGAGTATCTAATACAAAGATTCAACCAATAGCTTCAGCACGCAAATCTTTAATTCATCATCCAACACCATCCGTTCAAGCAGCGCCAGAACCAGTTGCCAAACCAGCTCCTGAGTTCCACTTCAAGCCGGTTTCTATTGGTGATCCTCTTGATCCGATGGATGTTGCTGAATATGAACATTTCATTTACAGAACAATGCGTCAGCGTGAGCTAACAGAGGAACCACTCGTTTTCAATCAACAAGAAATTACCCTCAAGGATCGTAATCTTCTTATTGATGCTCTCTGCCGTTTTCATTATAAGCTTGGCTTGACTACTAACACATTTTACAGATTCATCGGAATTTTCGATCGCTTCTTATCAAAGGAGTCAATTCCGAAGTCAAAACTTAAAGTTTATGGCTGTGCTGCTTTCTTAATTGCTTCTAAGATTGAAGATATTTATCCTTCCCAATCAACAGATCTTATTAAGCTCAGTGAGCGTGCTTTTACACAGAGAGAATTGTTTGCTGCTGAAATTCAAGTTATTAACACAATAGGCTTCAATACAACATTCGCAACACCACTTTTCTTCTTAACACATTTCATGCAGATCCAGGATGAAACAAAGGAAGACCTTCTCCTTGCTCGTTATATCCTCGAAATCATGCAGACACAGAGCCAGTTCTTTGGAATGAAACCATCAATGATGGCATCTATTGCTGTTATGTTCACTCATTACTTAAGAGGTGTTACATTGTGGTCCAATACATTCTCTGGCTATACTCAGTATACTCTTGAAGATATGGATGCTTCTGCGAAGTGTATTCGCGAGATGCTCACAGAAGAAGACCGTGAAGAAACTCGCTTCATGCGCCGTAAGTATGGCTCTGACTTGTTTATGGGTGTTGCTCGTGTTCATATTCCTTCTCATTTCCCATAATTTCGTTTATTATATTATCTTTTTTGCTTCTATTAAAGATTTATTAATATTATTTAATCTGCAGACTTATTTTTAACATGTCCTCATCAAAGATAAGTTTCAAAAATGATAATAAAAAGCTTCCAAAAGAAATTTGGGAAGGAGAAAATATTTTTCTAATAAAATAAGCGTATTAATGATTGTTGATTAATTGGGCCAGGCTAGTTTTCCTTTTTATAAAATGGAATCCGTTTATGAAAAAAATTTTTCAATAATGAGTGAAGAAGTTTGCGCTTGCTTGACAAACAATCAACTCAAATCGTTCAAAAAGGCATTTAACCACTACTCCAGACAAAACAATGGAATTCTTAAACCAGAAGATCTTCCAAAAGCCCTTAAGATGGTAGGAATCCGTCCAACAGATGAAGAAATCCAAGAAATGATTGAAGAAATTGGTACTGATAATCCAATCGATATTGTCGAATTTACAATTTGCATTTATTATTTCTTGCGTGCTGCAGATACCCAAGAAGAGCTTATCAATGCATTCAAAATATTCGATAAAAAGAAACAAGGCAAGCTCCCAACAGCTACAATTCAGCAAATTTTAACCAGCCTGAAGCATCCGGTTTCACAGCCTCTTATTCAAGAATTGATTTCTCAACTCGATAAGGATGGAAGCCATATGATTGATTATGCTGAAATGATACGTCTCATGCGTCCAAATTAGGATAGGCACTATATGTTAAAAAAACCATTTTATACTTTATAATTTTCTTTTTTCATTACCAATTCAGAAAATTGGTTTATAAGATATGAGCTTATGCAAAAAATTCAATAAGAGAAAGAGTTTTTTTTAATCATGAATAATATCTTTATAAAAAATAACATGAAATAGATAGAAATATGATGCAAAGTAGTTACACAACTTATAAGGACAATTTGTGGATCATTACGTGAGGAATTAATAGTAATTTAAGTGAACGTGCAAAACTAAAATTTGAAAATAAATTTTCGAAAAGAACGAATTTCTATTTTTGAATAAGACTGTGTATTACAATTAAATTTGGTATCCTGAAGACTTTTTGGTATCATCTCTGACAAATAAAGTGTCTGCATCATCTTGAATACTAATAGCACGTGATTCAATGCGTAATGAGATAAATTCTGCGCTCATTGTGGCAGCTGCCCATCCTAAAAATGTAATTATCCACCATACAAATTTAGTGGGAATACCACAACAGATACCTGATAGTACAATATGAACACCATAAAGGGTTGACATGTAGTCAAGAGCTTTTCTGTGCCTTTGTTCGACAAAGGCGAAAACAATGCCAGCACAAAGAGATGAAGCCATTTGTGATAGAATTGAAATACGCCCTAATCCTGTTCTAAATGAGAATATATTCGGATTAAACATTTGTTGAATGGTAAATGGTATATCATTGAAAAAATCGAAAAATAATATAGTGAATGCCTGCGAAGCATAAAATACTGACTGAAATGCAAGTATTTGAATAGAAATGTGTAAAGGATCAAACGGTGTACGAGGGCGAAACATATTTTTGAACAGAACGATTATTTAAAAGTGACAAAACTGACATGAAAATTTTTTATTTTCCGGAATATTTCCATTGATAATATCAACTTGTCGTCTTTGCTATCATATATTTTTACCTTGAGAACAAGAATTAATTGCTTATGCGTTCTTGCAAAAGAGTCTTCATTATCTTGATTTTGCAAATTTGATTAGTTCATAATTGAGTTAAACACAGAGTGAAGAAAATACATCAATCAAAATGCTAAGGTATTGTGATACCATTAAGAAATCAATATATTTATATCCCGATGATATTATGAAATTAGGGAAAAAATATCTTAGAAGATGAAAGCATAAAATATTTGAATAAACATAGTCAATAAGATATAGAAAAATTTCTTTTTATAACAAAACAATAAAATATAGGAAACATTTAATGAAATTTATAAGCTGACAATCTTATTAACAACCTCTTTTTCGCCACCTTTATCTGCGATAATCACAGTAACATGGCAAACATAGTCCTCATCGAAACAAAGGCCTACACCAATATCATCAACAAGGTTTAAAACAACAGATACGCAATCAGTATTATTTCTCCATTTCTTCATAACCTCCTTTGGGGCTCTAGACATTTCACGGCATGTTGTATGACTTATATCACTTAATTTGTAGCGAGGTTCAATAATATTTTGGTAAAAATCATCTTCTATTGGATTTGTACCTTCAGATCCATTTGCTATATATTCAGAGTGTATCTGAGCAAATTTGAAGAGATCGTCATCTAAATTTAATCTAGCCAAAGAGTGTTGCTCGCGGAAATCATTCATTTCTTCTGCAACATGCTTGGCAAGTATATGGTTATCAACAAGAACTTCGCTACCATCAATTAAAGAAGCGTGTAGTGAACGAGTTACAATTCTCACAGAACAAAGCTTATTCTTCTTGAGACAGAAGCCAATTCCAATACGATTGAACTCACCAAGAATTGCAATCGGATGCTGCGTCTGATGCATCCATTCTTCAACGATTGATTTTGGATTTGCTTTTTCAAAATCAACCTGTCCAAAATCTACATGAATATTGGATACATCATTGAAACGAGAAGACATGAATTTTTGAGTAATCTTGGTGTGATCAGCCTGACAGAACTTGTAAGCGTGCATTGAAAGATAATCATCGTACAAATATGTTTGTAAGTCGAAATCTTTTCTTATTTTGTTGACTAATTGAATGCAGCGATTTCCAAGTAATACACTTCTGAGTTCATCTCCAACTAATTGAGAATTTCCAATATATGACTTGACTGCGCAGATAACTGTAAAGAAGGATATCTTCTTGTTAGATGCCATTCCGACTCCAACAACATTGATCTTGGAAAGAAGTGCTTTTGACAAGTTTGGATCAGTTGCCCATTCATTGGCAACATCGAGAAAAGCGTGATTGGGTGAATCACTTTTGGTAACATGAGCGTAAAAGTTTGCGAAAGGCTGACTTAAAACTTCGCTTCTAACGGGCGCCGCAGAAAATTTTGTCTCACCTTTTGCCATTGCTAAAGAGTGTTTCATAGCAAGTTTACTTAAAAGAGGACTTTCTCCGATATTTCCAAGCTTATGTGAGTTTCTGAAAAGATTTATTGCTCTAATTAAAGTTGCCGAGATAGATCGATATTTAAATTTCAAAATTGATGATGGGTTTGTAAAATCGAATTGATTGAATGAATTTTCTGTAGTTTCAGTATAACTTTGTGAAATTTCTACTTCATTATCTTCGTCATCCTCTTCATATTCTTCTTCTTCGTTTAATTTTAATTCAGTATTTGGCGTTTTTGATAAATCTTTGGTGCTATTTGTCGTGCTACCTTTTTTAGATTTGCTCAATGGACTTAGATCGTGAAGTTTCATCGATCCGCTTGATGAATTATCAACTTCTAAGTCTCTTCGTGATTCAATACCATCTTCTTTGGTTCTATTAGCACTAGCAGACATGTTGATTCCAAGTGTAAAACCTAAATCTCTACTAACGTCTTCCTATTCAAAATTTCAGAGAATAAATATAAAATCGAAACCGTAAGAATTACATGTTATGAATAAACATTACCATGCAAAGTGAAGTAAAATTGATTTAAGCTGTAATTCTTTTTTGTAATTCATCAGAAGGCAAAAACAAATGATAGGTCAATTACATCTAAATGAGCCGACGCACACAAGGGACCTGTCTCTACAGTTGAAGAATTGGAATTTGATGAAATAATTTTGTCTCTTATAATACATTGCTATATAAGTATTGCACCGTTTTCCATAAGAAATCATGTTCAGAAATAACTCATTTCTGTCTCAAATTTTCATTTTTGGGCCTTAATACAGAGATTATGAGTGAATGTTTGAAAAAAGTTTCGTACACCAAATAAATGAAATAGCATTAACTTCGTAGGCATTGATTTTGTTACATTCTTGATAAATGAATACAATATAGAGATCGATTTATAAATGATTCCTGATAACATTTTTCTCAAACTATTTATTTGTACAAATGCTTTATTTATCCATCAATGTTCGACATTTCACCCCTTTGCCTAAGTTTCCTTTCGTATGGTGAAAATTTCAATGAAATAGTTAAAAATGGAAAAACAGCACCTAATGAAGTGGTTTAGCATGGTGAAAATATCAATGAAAAATGAGTTTTTTTTGGAGAGCCGCTCTTCAAATTACGGAACTTAACAATAGTAAAGGAATAGTCGAACTACTTATTTCACATAGTGCAAATGCCAATCAAAAAGATAAAGATGGCAAAACTACACTTCATTATTCAACATTTTATCAAAGAAATGAAATTATGTTTCCAAAAAATTCTGATGTTCTATCTTGAACCAGGTTCATATATTCAAGATCATTATCGGTTGATAGTTTCTTTCCTAATGGGCAAATCCAGCTTTTTATATGAGCAATTGAAAATTCATGAAACATTCAAACAATAACGCAATAACATTTATAGCTTGGCCTTACCCTATAAATTATGGAATTGTGGTGCATTAATATCTTAAACAGCAAAGAGTTTCATTCAATGCATCTAATCATTTTTTTGGCGTGTGGGCAATTTTAACGACATTTTTTAACGCGATACGAGCGTAAGTCCATAGAATGTGTTTTGAGGGAAACTATAAAAATCCAAAATAGAGGTAAGTGCGCCATTATTACCTGCGAAGTTACATGGAATAAATCGAAGAGTAAGTACAAGATGATCTTGCATCTTTCCAAGTAAATGAAATTTATTAAAATTAAGATGATAATATTCATTTATAGTATGTGTATGATGTTTTTTCAAAATTTCTTCAAATAAAATGCAGAGAGAGGGTCAAAGTTGCTATTTGTCACTTTTCCACAAGTTGCTATAGTTGATCTCATTCACTGAGGTGAGAGACGCATCTAGTGTAATGGGATAAACAATGGGATTGCTGCTCTAAGTCCTAGGTTCGAGACACATTGGCTTCATTTTTCTCTTTTTTTTGACGTAAACTATTCAATTTTTGTGTTCTCCATTCAAATTTCAGAATTTTTTTTGCAGATTTCACGCTACATTCGAAGTTACCTTTTGTAACAACCACCACTGCCTACGAAAGACGAAAGTGTGTCACGATTTCACCCGGAAATCCGACGGTTGTTTAAGAGTAAGCACTTTTGGTCGTATATTAATTTAACTAATATGAATTTGGATTGTGCTTTCCTTATTGATGTAATGATATTTTCACTAATAAAAAATGAAATATACACAAGAAAAAAATTATTCAAAAATTATCATTGCATTTTATTTGAAGAAATTTTGAAAAAACATCATACACATACTATAAATGAATATTATCATCTTAATTTTAATAAATTTCATTTACTTGGAAAGATGCAAGATCATCTTGTACTTACTCTTCGATTTATTCCATGTAACTTCGCAGGTAATAATGGCGCACTTACCTCTATTTTGGATTTTTATAGTTTCCCTCAAAACACATTCTATGGACTTACGCTCGTATCGCGTTAAAAAATGTCGTTAAAATTGAACCGCGCCCATTTTTTTACACAATTGATGTTCAGTTTCGTTATTTTGTCGTGCATAAACATACATCAATTCTTTCATTATTTCTGTTTGATTTTCTGTTTTGGAGCGCCTAAGTTGAGAAATTTAAATAATTTAAATAATTTTAACAATTTTAACAAAATCTATTATAACAATCAATTTAAAATGTTTTCAAAAATTTCAAAACTCAATCAAATTAATTATCAAATTTAACCTCTTTAACCTCTTTGTTCTGAAATTTCATGGTCGTCAAAAATACTAATTAATTATTATATTTGTATGCGTGATATCCATTATAATCACAAATTTTTTTGATAATCGTTTTTTCAGAAAATTTTATGAAAAACTGCATATAACGTTTCGTCTGATGTCATAGGATTCTTTAATAAATCTGGCCATTTTTCTATTTAATCTAGATGTCACTTTTATTATTGAAAAATGGGTTTGAACTTTGGTGACTTATATCAAACATTACTCGGCATTTGGACATGCTCTTTAGCTGGCTTTATCTTTGTGAAGGCTAAGATGTTTGATCCGAATGATATGAAGTTTGTTCAATACGTGGTTGATGCTTGTTTTTTGCCAGCTTATTATTTTTACATGATAGCTAATACCAAACTTAATTGGACTAACTGGAAGGAACTTGTTCCTGTCGTTGTTGTTCAATTTTTCATACATTTTGCTGTTTTCATTTATTCTATTTTTGGAAAGAACATATCTTTTGCGGAAAAGTATTTCAAATCAATCACTTCCTATGGATTTAGCCAATGGGATGTATTCGCTTATCATATTTTAGATGAAATAGGAGCAACAAAATATCAGTATGTATCAATCATGTATGGATTTCTAGATGAGTTTATTTTCTTCCCGATCCTTAAAATACTTACATTTTACGTTAGACCAGGAAGTATGGACCTCAAATTGAGTAAAGATCAAGAAGACGACCAAGAACAAGAAGTGGATGACATTGAAGATCTAGAAGATAACACTGATGTCAAAATCGAAGTCGAAGGCTCAACAAGTTCAAATTCATCCGAACAAGTCCACGAAGAGAACGACGATCACAACGAAGAAGTTGATGAATCAGGTAATCCTACAGGTGACCTCAAAATCAAGAGTATGGAATCGAACGATTCTTCTGATGAAGAAAAGCCACTTTCTTTCGGATGGACAGTTTTATGGGCATTTTGCAATTCAAGAACAGTTCTTATCGTTGTTGGCCTTATATATTCAGCTACAGTTAAGGGAACAATGCCTGATTACATCAATGAGCTTGCCAAGTCATTGAGAGCTCCAACATTTCCAGCCATTCTCTTCATACTTGGTGTACAAGTTGCAAATACAAAGCTAAATGTTTGGACTCCAGGTATATTACTTTCAATATTCGAAAGATATATTTTCTGTCCATTGATCATGGCCGGACTTTGCAGAGGTCTCAACATTGATTCTTTGGTTGCTAAAGGAATGGTTATGATGTCAATCAGTCCACCAAATAACAGATCTCACCTTGCAATGGGAGATTCTGAAGCTATGGAGAAACCCAAAGCAATATATGCTTGGACAATGCTCCTTTGGCTCCCAATGTCATTCATTTGGGGTGCAATTATTATTAAAACTAATCTTGTTTAATTATAGAGAACTTTATATCAATAAACTATCATTTTATATGACAACAATGCCCCCTATTGTATTTTAATTATATTAACATTTATTTTTGACAAGATTTAAAGATATTTATTTGCAAAATGCCTAAAAATACGAGATTCAAGTCATAAATACACTATACCTTTTATTAACTATATGTTATTCTTGAATAAGGATGATTTGAATACTAATTTTCAATCGTTAGAGAATTATGTAAGAAAATAACAAATAATACTTATGAAAATAACGCAAAATCCTACAAAAGATATATATTTACAATGACTCGTAAAGTTATGAGAAATTAATTTTTATCAGATAAATATAGGTTATGTTATGTAAATTAACATGATCAATTACATCTATAATATTTATTTCCAAAACAATCTATGTAGGAATAAAACAAAAAAATTAATGAATTAAAACATTATTCTTCATCATTAATGATATTATTAACTTGATAAGTCAATCCCTTCAACTCATCATCAGAGTTATCAATGAATTCATCAAGAGAAGATAAAAATAGCTCATCATGAGTTAAGTTCTGCATTAATTCCCAAAATTCATCAGTTACAGTGTTATTTGCATGCCTGTCATTAACAGCAATAACAAATCTAAGCAGATTTTTAATAATTTCTAAATTTGTTGATGAATATATTGTTTCAAACAAATTTGATATATCAAACTGCTGTGAATATTGTGTGGAAGCATCATTATTGAACAGAATATAAATTAAATGGAAAGTATTTGTTATGAACTCGGGAGTTGTTACTTCGCTCATAAAAACCGGTAGATATTGTGCTAATTCTGATCTAAGTAGTATATCCCAGTCGAATCCTTCTGTTTCTAAAAGTTGACATAAAATTTTGCAACTTTTGTCAAAAATTTCTAATCCGTTGATTCTTTTATGGTATGATCTATTCCATGAACAAAGATAGTAAATAATCGTGTTATTTTTCTCATCATCAATTATTTGTTCCTCTAAAAGATATCCGAAAAAAGGAGAGGCACAAACATTAAAAAGAACATCAAAAATATATGATTGAACACCAGAATCCATCCTTGGATCGAAAAGCGTAAACATTCTAATTAATTTAAAAACTATTCCATTTTGAACTAAATATTGGACATATTCTTCGTTTTGAAGATAACTTAATAGCTTGAATGCGCAAGAAAGTCCTTTGATGGCTTTGTTGAATACAAATGTCAAAATATTCGGTAAATCTTCTGCTGGAATCGCTTCAACTCTAAAGAAGAACGAATATACATTGATAATTGAAGAAGCCCATTCATCATTGTATAAACATTGCTGCTGTGCTTCTAGAAGATAAGGACCACATTCTGGGCTGATTTTTATTAAATATTGCGGATTGATGGCAAAAATAGCAGTAAGTAAGTCAGTGACGCTAATCTTCGGCACTTTGGTCACTAGTTTCGTGATAATATCGAATTCAGCAAAATTTTCGAGTAAATATGCATGCTTTTTCAAAAATGAAGTAACAAGTGTGTTAATTATCTGTATTGCAAAACTAAAAGTGGATTTTGGATTGAAAAACTTAATTGTTTCGGGATAATCTATTAAAATTTGAAGTAAAACAAAGAATTCGCGAGGTAATTCTGTAATATCGTCAAGGTTATTTGATTGCGAATAGTTTATTAATACATTCAATTGCTCCAAACGACTTTTAATTTCTTCAAATTGTTCTGGTATTTCAAAATCTAGCAATAATAGGGCATTCATATCAAATTTGACTGTTAGATTTCGTGGGATAAATAGGAAATGAGTTTCTGATTGATCTTGCTTTTTGATATCTTTCTTTAAAGTTTCATTCATAAGAAAAATGAAAAATATGATACTTAAATCCAACCATATCTAACATTAATATGAATTAACGAGCATTTTATAATACCAAAATGGTTGCATTTTCCAAATCATTAGATCAGTAATGAAACTTAATATTGCTTGATACAATGCTTATAATTCAATTGTAGTATCAAGGCATTACATGTATGGACATCTCACACAAATTTTATATACAAGTGTTATAAATATTATGCATCACATCTTCTGAAACAAAAAGGAAGACCATCCATACATGCAATATTCCATTAATTACCGGATATCAGAGAAAATTCTTAAAATTAATATTCAAATTCAATTTGAACAGAGAAAACTCGATATTGGATAGCATAATAGTGTAAATTAAATATAAATTCAGATACACTTCTAAACAACATATATTTATTCTTTAATATCAGATATTTCTGTAAATTTTTGGAAAACTTCTATTTCTTCTTCAGTCATTTCTTCCAAACCATCAAGGAAATCCAACAAATCGCTATTTATTACTTGGTCCACAATCGGATTGTCAATTGTGAACAAGCCTTTGTTAATTAACATTTCAGACAATATTAAGAGGTGTTTCATAAACTCCTTTCTATTCAACTCTGATGCAGAAATTGCTATATCACATAGATCATGCATTAATCTATTTTCCAACGGCTGAACAATTAAATCTATTGATTTTTCATTAATTAAAGCAACAAAGAATAAGAAACAATCAACTCTTTGCGATGTTGTTCCTTCTTCTGTCAATTTAAACATTAAATCAAGTATTTCTTCTTTCAAATAATTTTTCATTTCATCAGGGTTTCTATTAAATGATTCATAGAAGAATTTCGCATACATCTGTGGATAACTATTCGCATGCGTCTCTAAATTGGTTGTTTTTAAATGGTCAGTCAAATGTTTGATTATTTCAGGAGGAGGTAAGATATTTAAGTACATAACAACGGTGTAGGCAAAGTTACAGAGAGATGTATCAAAATTAAACTCATCTTTAATAGGAAAATCACCAGGATTTAAAATCAAAATTCTTTTCAATTCTTCGAAAATTTGTGGGAAAATTTCAACTGATTTTTGATATTGGAGGCTAATTGTATTCAAAAGAGAAAGGAGTTTGGCCAGAGCCGTGATTTTTGGAAATTGATCGATAAATGATTCTTTTTGTCTGAAACACTCATTTCTTTGATCTGCATCTGATGTATTATTGATAAGTTCGTTAAATTTATCATTAATTTCCTTTTCTTTTGGCATAAAATCAATAATTGCAGAAATAAGAATAGGAAGGAATTGGCATACCTTCTGGAATATATCGGATACAAGTTCTCCCGGAATTTTATCTAATAATAGTAATAATTTTATAATAATTTGAATATTTTGAATGAAAACTTGTTGAGAATAGGTTTCCAAGCTAAATGTTACGGAAACGAGATATGAAATAAAATCATGTTCAATCATGGCGTCGCGTAATGAAGGAAAATCATCAATTAAACTCGTAAACCAATTGGAAATAGTACTAAATATATGCATGAATTCCTCAAATTTTTGATTGTTTATAAAAAACGATAAGTTTTGAGGATCTGAGAGAAACATTTTCAGTATATTTGAGATATTGAAGTCTAATTTGTTACTTTTGAAATGAAATTCAACGATGAGGTATATTATTTCTACTGGTATATCGATATTTTGTTTTTGAAATAGAGATATCTTCTCAAAATAATCTCTAATTATTTCTAATGGAGTTGATTCATCATTTAGTGCAGAATCAAGTGATTCATAGAATTCATTGACATCACCAGACATCAAATCTTGGTCACTAATGTCTTCCTCTTCTTCCAACTTTTTTGTATTTTTTGGATCTTCGATTTTATATTCATTCATATAATGAAAGCTAAAGTAGTAAAGAAATTAAATACAGGTAAAAATTTATCACAGTAGATATTAAATCCGATATTTAGCAGTATATTTTTGAGATATAATTTCATATTTAGATTCTGAATTTAAAATGAATATCAAATTCTAATACCCTCTACTTGGCCTAGATTTTTTTAATTCTAAGAAGCTCTAATTTGTAAAATGTTAGGAAAACTAACAAGAAATATTGAAAAAAGTAAGGCCAACATAATGAAAACCATGAGATTTCATCCTTTAAAGGTAATATCACGAACAAAACAAAAAATTATTCACTAAGATAAACCAAGATTTTTAGAATGAGTTGAAACTAAAACTTTCATCTGATTATAAATTTCTCTATACCTGGCATCAACTTTAGAGAGGGAAATATTCTCTAATTGTTTATATGCAATATAAGTAAATTTCTTTTGCACTTCTTGGTTTGGAAGCATAAGAGATAAAGCCAATACAACATATTCTGATAATCCAGAATTGAAATTAGTTGACAAATCAATAAAAGTATTCGTAAATATGGTCAGAAGCAAAGAAACACCTTCAGAATTAGCTAAAATAGTACTAATTCCATCAGTATCGCATAATATTTTGGCAATGATATAAGCAGAAGCCGTTTGAATTTTGATATTATTATATCCTAAAGTTTTTCTCACAATTGGAATAAAATCAGCATTCAGTAAATACTTTATAATCTCGGGATTTGAATCAGATACTAAACTAGTAAATACTACTAAGGCAGCAGCTGCAATATGCCAAGTTTCTTGTTTTTCTGATAATTGAATGTAAGGAAATATATAAATCGGGATATTAGATCGAATAAATGGTATTTTTGTATTATCATCCTTTGCCAAAATGTTAAAAATTTGAAAAAGATTGATAATTTTTTGCGAATTTGATCTTGAAATGATCTTTCCGAGAAGCTGATAGTAGGAAACTAAATCACCGAGTAGAGCAGTAATCGTTGCAGATGAATACCATAAAATAGTCGCTAGGTTTGGAATCTGATCTTGAATTGCTAGAATCTTATTAATAGCCTCATTTCTACTATTTTCCAATAGCAATTCTTTAACCAAAGCTGTAATAGTATCATTAATAATTAACTGATTTTGCATGATATTGTCACTTTTTTGTCCCAGAATGGCTATGCATCAAAATTAAATAAATGAGCTAAAACAATGCTGATTAAGTCAGGCAAAGTATGCCAATGATTCTTATTGCAATTTCAAGAAATCTCATCATTCATATTATCGGTGTGACGCGCCGATATATTTTTTTTAATTTAAAATGGAAGAATCAAATAAGCTCAATTACTATCAAGAAATGAAATCATGTGCAGAAGATCTCAAAATTATGACGCAGTTAGCTCTACTACAAAATGGATCGAGTGACCAACAAATTATTTCTAATTTAAAAAACAAAATTCGCAAACAATACAGTCCTGATAAAGATCAAAATAGTATAGAAGAAGATATTGATCTAGTCTTTAAAGATTTATTGAAGGGTGCAAACATTTTAAACGTATACGAACAACTTCGAACTCCACAACGCATTTTTACACAAGCTAAAAAATATGTTTGCTGGCATCCAAGAAATCGGTTCCGAACAAGATTTTTATGAAGAATATTTCAAAAGTAATGAATTCAAAGAATTTCAAGAAAAGCATAAAGATGAAATTATAAAACGATATATTGAAAACCCCAATAATAAAGGTGATATATTAAATTTGGTGAATAATTCGATAATAGTCTCACTCAAGAAAAAAATTCTCGATTTATACATGTGGAATACAAGCAACGACATTACATCTGAAGACGAATTAGAAAAACGAAGGGCTGAACTTGAAAAAGAAATCGATGGGTCCTTTTAATCTATATTTAAAATTTTATTGTTTGTATTTCGGGCATTCTTAAAAAACTACCTTTAAAATAAAATACTTTATATTCATTCTTCAAATACAGATTAATTGCAATGATATTTATTATTTTCTATATTATATGATATCAAATGATAAGAAACAGGCCTTACTGAATAAATTTTGGGTTCTAACGATATTCTTTATTTAGTTGGATCGAGGACCCTTAATGAAATCATTATAGAATTATATGTTCAAATAGCTGCTTTTATTGGTTGAAATAATGTATTTATTGTCTATTACATTTGCAATTATTGCTTAAATATCTCTCTTTTGCTCCAATAGAGGTAAGATAATTAACAACTTCAAGTTTATCCCAAAATGATTTAATATGAAGTGGAGTTGTTTCATAGTTAGATTTTGCATTTTTATTAGCACCATCTGAGATAAGATATTTAACAATTTCAAGAAGACCTTCTCTTGATGCAATAATGAGTGAAGCCCATCCATAATTATTCTTTGTTTCTCCATCAGCTCCAACAGAAATAAGCTATTTAACAACTTCATAATGTCCATTATTTGATGCAAAAATGAGTGAGGCCCTTAGATTTCAGTTGCTCATTTTTAAATATATATTGGTAATCAATTGTGAATTATTTTATAAAAATAAGAAAAAAGCACCATATTCATATAGACGCACCTGTATATTCTATATTTTATGGCTGCAATATTACAACTGTTGAAACAAAATCCCAACATCATGCGCCTATTAATTGATGAAATGGTGACCAAAATTTGAGATGTCAGAATATATATATATACTTTTTAATTTAGACTCTTGTTATCAGTTAATATGAATAACAAATGTGTTTATTTTATTTAATTAAATGAAGAACATACAATATTCATATAAATTATAGTTTGGAAATAAGAATATTGTTAATTTTAATATAATTATCCAATTGTATTAGATTCCTTAGCTCCAATAGATTTTAGAAAATCTCTTACCATTTCTTTTGCAACTGAGAGTGCAGTCATTCCATCTTTATTCTTTGCTTCTTTATCAGCTCCAGCAGAGATAAGATATTTAACAACTTCAAGATGACCATTATTTGATGCTAAAATGAGTGGAGTAAATCCATAATTATTCTTTGTTTCTATATCAGCTCCAGCAGAGATAAGATATTTCACAATTTCAAGATAACCATTATTTGATGCACAAATGAGTGGAGTATATCCAAGACTATCCTTTGCTTCTTTATCAGCTCCAACAGAGATAAGATATTTAACAACTTCAAGATGACCTTTTAATGATGCATAAATGAGTGGAGTAGATTCATATTTTGTGAAACTATTTTTTGTATTTTTTGATAGTATTAAGTACTGAGATGGCCATTTCTAAATTTTTAACCGAAACGGCGGCATCTCGAGAAAGTGCATAGAACTTATATGCTTGTAATGTCGGATATGACTGCTTTGGTGAAGTTATGTAATCATCTGATGTTAAAATTGCATTTTTCAGGAATTGTTTGATCTCTTTAACTTCAACAATATCGAATATGTTATTCTCTGAAATATAATCCGTAATATCAGCGGAAATATAATCAAAGTTTTGAACAAAGTCATTTTTACCCAATTTAATCTATTCTAATAATCCTTCAGATTTACTATCACTCACCAATAGTTTTCCTACTTGAAAGTCATATATAGAAAGGATTTGGATATTATTCTTTTACTAGGAACTCCATTGCGGCATTTCTAGTAAATAACTGCAAAGCTCTAATTATATTTTTAATGTATTTCAGAATAAATATAATAAAAAATATCTCTGTAATGTATGTCTACTTCTTGTAATCTAATAAACAAAATCACATTCTCAAATATTGAACTAATAAGTTTTGTCTGCTTATTAGCACAAATCATTTGAGTTTTTCCAATAGTCTTTCCTTCTGTTGAGCTTTCATATACCGTTTGCCGAATAACTCTCAAAATATGATAGAATATTGCTCCTCATTCTTCAATTGATCATGATAAATCCTCCATTCCGGAGTACTTGCTGCGATCTTCAACTCAAAAGTTTCTGATATCTTTAATATGATTCCAAATGCTACAATTCTTCTCTAAAATACTGTTATTTCGTTGAAACTTTAGTGTTCTCGTCGTTTAAGTAGAAAGCATTATCACATATACGTATCAGCATATCTATTAAACCATTCTTAATACCCAAGATCAAATCAAAGACAATCATTTTTGAATGGTAAATGCAAAAAACGTTTTTATTGACTACTATCTATTGGATTTTATTATCTTAGGAATACTAATTGGGGTTTGGGTATTCCTAAATGGTATCAATCCAAAGCATTTATATGTTCCAAAAGGAGATTCTCGAAATTCGTATCCTCATTACAACAGTGGCATAACAGAAACACAAAATCTGATAGTTGTTGTTGGTATTCCTTACTTTGTATACATACTATTATATATATTATTCAAGGCAAATTGCAAAATCAATTATTTTCAACCTTTCGACCTACTTTTCACTCTAATTTGTCATATGACATCAATTACGCTCTCAAACATAATAGCAAATGTTATAAAAATACAGGTTGGAAGACCTCGACCAGATTTTTTCTCAGTTTTAGGCGAAAATGCTACTTCAGAATCAATGTGTCCAGAAGATATGCCGCGCAAGAAATTTAATGAAGAATTCAAAAGCTTTCCATCAGGACATTCTGCTTCCGCAATGAGCGGTTCTTTGTTTTTGATAATCTTTCTTATGAAAGGGATTACGAAGCACTACTTATGGATAAGAATATTTATATTCTGTATATTTGTTTATCCATTTATGGTAGGATGCACAAGAATAACAGAACACAGACATCATACAGATGATGTTGTGATGGGATTCTTTATTGGTTCCGTTTTTCCAATTCTATTTTTCTTGTGCGATACTGAAAAGATATTTCGCGATTCAGCATATCCATAGTAGCTTTGTGTTCATAATATAAATATTAGATTTTTGTTTGTTTTTTTTAAAGATATGAAACTTTTTTTTTCTCAGAAGAATTTGTAATTCTTCGTAAAAAAAATAAGATACGATCATATTACATATTGATTCTAATTAATAAATGCCTATAGTATTAGTTTAACAATTGACATGTATGTTTACACATTTGATATTTTTTTTAGGAATTACATCAACGAGGATAAGTAATTCTGAAGTCGGATTCATGACACAATTATATATGTTAAGATTACTATCATATTTTGGCACTTGCAGATGATTTTATGAAGTTCGAACTTTTATTTGAAATTTTTTTCAGAGAGGCAAATTTTCCATTCAAAATATTTTTGAGAGCGAATCAGCAATTTATCAACATTTTTATATATCATCATCTATGCTTGCACCATTTGCAGACCGTCTTGAGAAGATGAAAATCATTCTTGGTTCATCAAGCCCTCGTCGCCGCGAATTAGTTGGAAGACTTTTCAAGAAATTTGAAATTATTCCTTCAGATTTTGATGAGTCTACAATCAATAAATTAGATTTCCCAGATCCAAGGGATTATGTTAAATTACAAGCCCAAAAGAAAGCCGAAGAGCTTGCTGGGCGAATTGGAGATGCAGATATTGTGATAACTGCTGATACAATTGTTGCAATTGATGGGAAGATTCTCGGAAAACCACATACTCATGAAGTTGCATATAATATGATCAGTGAACTCAATGGACGCATAAATAAAGTTATCACTGGTGTCAATATTATCTTTCCTAAACTCAATATGTCAATTTCATTCACAGAAACTACAGAAGTTCTCATGGATAACCTTCCAGAAGCCGTTGTTAGAGCTTACGCAGATTCTGATGATCCACTTGATAAAGCAGGTGGTTATGGCGTTCAATCAAATGCTGTTTCACTTGTCAAAAGTGTTAATGGAGACTATTCAAATGTTGTTGGACTTCCAGTTAACCGTCTCGCTCGAGAAATTTATCAAGTCCTTGAACAAACTGCTTAAACTAAAACACATATTACTTATCTATGAATAAATTTTCTATTTTAAACATGAAAGGAATTTTTCACAAAAATATTATTGAAATCTCTTTGAAAAAATAAATGAGGTAATATAGTAGTATCAGATGGAAGTTTTTTGCATTGTATCTTTTGATACTTATGTGTGAAATTTTTAAAAATTTATAAGTTGGTATAATAAATTTGATTTAGTATGTAATACTTTGATGAGTAGCTTGATGTTGTACTTTACAAAAGTATGTTAAAGGATATGAGCTTATATAACATTTGGAAAGCGAGATATTCATTCATTTTCATTATCATCATTGAAAAAAAAAATAATCGTCATATAAGCGGTTTTGGTCAGCCTTTTGAATGGTAAATCCAGCTGAACACAAGCCAATCATCCACAAGAAGACAAACAGATTCCATCGCCCACAGTCCGATCTCTGGAATCGTGTTCCTTCCGCATGGCGCCATCCACGTGGTATCGATTCACGTTTCCGCAGGAAGTATCGTGGCACCCCACTCCACCCAAGTGCTGGTTTTGGCTCCGACAAGGAAACAAGATTCATGCTTCCAAACGGCTTTATTCCAGTTATCGTTCGCTCACTCAAAGATCTCGACATGTTACTTACAAAGAATACAACACACGGCGCCATGATTTCTGCTCAGGTTGGTGCTAAGCTTCAGCAAGAAATCATCAAGAAAGCACAGGAATTAAACATCGAAATCCTCAACCAAGCTCGTAAGCATGTTGCTCAGGAGCAATAAATAAAATACCAATATACCAACTGGATTATTTTATAAAGAACTCATTAAACAATTACAATATTTTTAAACTATTTTGTGAATCTTTTCTCACTTTGATTAGCAATCATGATTATTATTTCTTCTAATTCTATGAACAATATTTGATAGACAAATTCAAAAACTCTTCTAATTTTGAAAAATTATCTCAATGATATTTTCAAATTGTAAAGAGTTGAGTTATTCTATTTACCCCCAAAATCTATAACAAATAAATTTAAAATTAGAATCTGCAAAATGAAGAATAAGAAACGAATTGAAGATTTTATCTAAAATTCTAGATTCATGTGATGTAATTTGGTCGTATTTGTATCTATATGTGTCAATGAGTGATTGAAGTTATTAAAAATGTTAATTTAGACATTTTTGCCAAAAATGTATTGAAATTCATATGATAATATAAACCAAATGAAATTGTGGCAAACCCAAATTTTAGCTAAAAGTGACAGGAAAAAAAAACGTTTAGTATTAAAAAAAAAGACCGATGAGAGCTTCGTTCGAAATATAGAGGGAACTGAGAATGCGCAACCATTCTCAGGGAATATTGGATGCTATTCCCGTTCCCTCTGTATGGAAAATTGAGGTTTTCAAAGGGAGTTAAAATAATATCAAATTTATACTAATTTACTTCAAAATACAAAAGTATTTGACAGCTAAAATTAGTTACTTTAGCAAGCCTATCAATACCCTTTTACGATTATTGTTACTTTTTCGAAATAAAAGTAAAAACAAATTTATACTAATTTACTTCAAAATACAAAAGTATTTGACAGCTAAAATTAGTTACTTTAGCAAGCCTATCAATACCCTTTTACGATTATTGTTACTTTTTCGAAATAAAAGTAAAAACAAATTTATACTAATTTACTTCAAAATACAAAAGTATTTGACAGCTAAAATTAGTTACTTTAGCAAGCCTATCAATACCCTTTTACGATTATTGCTACTTTTTCGAAATAAAATAAATTTATTATCAAAAACCTTTTTTTCTTAGTAAAAATAAACGAAATTTTTTACCTTATGAACTTTTGATGGAAATATGCAAATTTAAAATAATAAAGAAAGCCGCGAGCGAAGCGATCGGCTTAGTTCGAAGATTTTGATTCAAATCTTTGCTGATCTGTAATTCGCGGAAGCCGCGAGCGAATCGAGCGGCTTAGGTCTAAGATTTTGATTCAAATCTTTGCTTATATTCCTTAAATTCTTTATGAAACTCGCAACAGTTCCATAAAAAATTTTAAATTCTAAACTGTCGAAATTACCGATCGGTAATCACACCCGTGAAGGGTGTGTCACTTTTAGCTAAAATTACTCCTACTCTGAAATTGTCATTATTGAAAAAAAAAGAAAAACAAATAAAAAATCATATGAATTTGATTTATTAAAAAAAATTGGAAATGATTTATTTCAAAGAGTTCTTTATAAAATAATCCAGTTGGTATATTGGTATTTTATTTATTGCTCCTGAGCAACATGCTTACGAGCTTGGTTGAGGATTTCGATGTTTAATTCCTGTGCTTTCTTGATGATTTCTTGCTGAAGCTTAGCACCAACCTGAGCAGAAATCATGGCGCCGTGTGTTGTATTCTTTGTAAGTAACATGTCGAGATCTTTGAGTGAGCGAACGATAACTGGAATAAAGCCGTTTGGAAGCATGAATCTTGTTTCCTTGTCGGAGCCAAAACCAGCACTTGGGTGGAGTGGGGTGCCACGATACTTCCTGCGGAAACGTGAATCGATACCACGTGGATGGCGCCATGCGGAAGGAACACGATTCCAGAGATCGGACTGTGGGCGATGGAATCTGTTTGTCTTCTTGTGGATGATTGGCTTGTGTTCAGCTGGATTTACCATTCAAAAGGCTGACCAAAACCGCTTATATGACGATTATTTTTTTTTCTTCTTACTTCCATCAATGAATTTTTCTCCGAAATTCATTATAATAATTGCACGTACTGTTGTATATTCTTCATCGCATTTTTACAGATACTTTTACTAATTTTAGCTCAGCATCAATAACTTTCATTTCATGGTGAATCTGAGATACAATTAATCAGTCAGTCTATTTTATAGCTCTGGTGTTAAGTCGATTTTATTGGATTCTATTTGCATCCAATATGCAATTCCAAAAAGAGCAATTCTGATTGAGGATCTAACAGACAAATTATTTTAATGTATCTGAAATTTTATTATGTAGCTTATTTTTAAATATTGCATAGCGAAAAAATATCAAGTTTACATTTTGTAAAGTTAGAAAAAAAATTGTCGATATCAATTACCGATAAAAAGAAATGTAGTAGAAGAATTTATATAAGTGGGATGAAGAATATACAACAGTACGTGCAATTATTATAATGAATTTCGGAGAAAAATTCATTGATGGAAGTAAGAAGAAAAAAAAATAATCGTCATATAAGCGGTTTTGGTCAGCCTTTTGAATGGTAAATCCAGCTGAACACAAGCCAATCATCCACAAGAAGACAAACAGATTCCATCGCCCACAGTCCGATCTCTGGAATCGTGTTCCTTCCGCATGGCGCCATCCACGTGGTATCGATTCACGTTTCCGCAGGAAGTATCGTGGCACCCCACTCCACCCAAGTGCTGGTTTTGGCTCCGACAAGGAAACAAGATTCATGCTTCCAAACGGCTTTATTCCAGTTATCGTTCGCTCACTCAAAGATCTCGACATGTTACTTACAAAGAATACAACACACGGCGCCATGATTTCTGCTCAGGTTGGTGCTAAGCTTCAGCAAGAAATCATCAAGAAAGCACAGGAATTAAACATCGAAATCCTCAACCAAGCTCGTAAGCATGTTGCTCAGGAGCAATAAATAAAATGCCAATATACCAACTGGATTATTTAAAAGGCAGGGTACTATTTATACGTTAATATATATTTAATTTTTTCTTTTTTCTCAGACGTTTAAATGTATCAATATCTCCTTGTGGTATATATCTCAACTCATTTCATTTAATACTAATTCTCTTCATATGAAATTTTTTAATATTTTTTAAACCTAATTTCTTTTACTTCAATTTCATACAATAAATATCTTAGTTTAGCTTATTTTAATTAGTTATTTTAATCAAAACCATGATAAAAGTTCTAATCAAATTAATTTAAAATCAAACTTAAAGTGTAGATTTAGAACTGTATTCAAGACATCATTGTTATTAGCCTTCCTTATAAATCTCCTCATTTTGCAATTTTGTATGAAGTGCGGATGAACAATCACATTCACATCAATTTAAGGGTGCATATAACTATATCCTAACTATTAAAATATAATCACAGCTATAGTAATTCTAGGAACTTCGCATTAGGTAATAGACATAAAAAACATCTTACAATTCTATCCTATATGCCTTAATTCAAGGATTCATGTTCATAACACTTAAAATTCATCTTTGTTTGATAGTATTTTAATCATTCATAGAGAAGGGAAGTGTAAATCAGTTATATAATGCTAAGAAAAAAAAGATAGAATAAATAAAAGTAAATTTACAATAACTTTTTATATAAATTTTATGGACTATCAAGAGCTTGAGATACTGAGGAGTTATTAAGCACCTTTGCGTAATCCTGAGGTGATCTTCCGTCTGCATCTTTAACGTCCTTTCTTGCACCAGCTCTCATTAACTGTTTAACGGACTGCACAAATCCTTTCTCAACTGCAATGTGAAGAGGAGTTCTTCCTTTGTTATCCAAAGCGTGAACATTTGCACCGCATTCGATGATGACATTTGCGAATGTATGCAAACTTTCCTCTGCAGCAATATGCAACAATGTCTTTTCATCCTTATCTAGCATATCCAATCTAGCTCCATTATCCAAAAGCAGCTTAACAAATGTCGGTTTTCCTGTTCTGCATGCGATCAAAAGTGGATAATCTCCATTACTTTTGTTTCTTCTATTTGGATCAGCTCCTGCCATCAGCAACAAAGAAGTAACATCAAACATTGTATCAGTTACAGCTACGCTTAGTAATGTCCTTCCTTCGAAAGAAATATTTGGATTTATATTGTAATTTGCGAGCATTACATTCAATGTTTCCAAATCATTTCTTTGAACGGCGTTCATCATTAATTGTTTGACGTTTGTAGCTTTATCCTTGAACATCAAAGGAACTTTGTTGTTTGTTATAGATAACAAGTCCATTTTCATTCTCTTTATCTCATTCGGCGGGCTTCTTCTCGCGATATCTCTTCTCTTTTGGATATCGTTAGAAAACATGTCCAAAATGTCAGATTGTCTCTTTCCTGGATATTGTTTGAGCATTTCATCCAATATCTCTCTGTAATCGAAGACATAACTGTAAGCAAATGGCGTCAAATCCATTTTGTCAAGAGTATCCATGCACTTGTGGCTGCAAAGGAATTTAACAATGTCTAAACGATTCTTTGCAACAGCCATTGTCAAAAGATTTCTGCCCCAGAATGGAATATTCAAAGAAATTTGTGATTTGCAAATTTCATTCGCGTATTCGAAATCTCCGGCCAATAAGACATGTCTTAATGCCAAAAATCCATTTTCAGGTAAGAATTTGAATCCAATTTGCACAAACAATGATAAGCATTGATGTGATTTCAAAGCTGCTGCAAGAACAAAAGGAGTTTCTCCTTCGAAATTCCTCAAATTCGGATCAGCACCCATTTGCAACAAAACTTGAACACAAATAACATTATCACGGCGAACGGCGACATGCATAGGAGTATCTCCTTTTGCGTTCTTTACATTCCATGCTTCCTTTTTGTTGTGGAATAATTGCAATATCTGGTGATGATTGTGTTTTGCGGCTAAATGAATTGTACAATTTCTATCGTCATCAGAAAAATTCGGTGGCAAAGAATCAATCAAATACTTAACAATTTCGTAATTTCCGTATTTGCAAGCAGCGTGCATAGGAGTTCTTCCTTTGTAGTCACTCTGGAATATATTAGCTTTCGCACTCAATAATTTGATCATGAATGCCGTAGATCCGTTCTTTGCTGCATAATAAGCAGGAGTACGACCATAAATATCAGCGAAATTCACAGGTGGCGGCGGATTTTCACTCAAAAGGGCCAAAGCAACGTAATAATGGCCATTCATGCAAGCAACATGCAAAGGTGTCATTAAGTTGGAGTCATAGATATTATAAGATGCTCCAGCGTTAATAAGATACATCGCGCACATTGGATTTTGCGAATATAATGAACAAATCAAAGGAGTTTGTAACAAATTATTTGTTACGTTCAATTCGCAACCATTTTCAACAAGAACTTGTGCTAATTGCATGTTACCCATTCTAGCGGCAATGTGTAATGCTGTATCACCATTATTATTCTTGTCATCTTTTTTACATAAAGTGTCACCTTTTTTCAAAATATATTCAACCAAAACTGGCAAATTTAATTTTGTACAAATGTGCAAAATTGTGTCTCCATCGTGTGACGAATACTTTGGACAATAGTTGAATACATCACAGCACAACTGACAGATCTTCTGTGTTGGTGGTCTTGGCTCTGTTGTTGTGTATCTAAACAAAAACATTTGTTGAGCAAAATGATCTTCAATAGAATTAATATAATTCATCAACAAAAGATGTAAATAACTTATATCGTTATCCAAGAAATCATTCGATGATCCCAATTTCATTAAGATCTCACACAATATCAAGTTTCCATCTAAAATTGCTATCAAAATTGGTGTCAAACCGTCGAAATCAACTTCATTTAATGATTGACCTTCTTGTATTGCGTATTCAATGAACTGAGAGACATATGATTTCTCTTCATCAGTTGCGTTGTTCAAGTAGTATTTCAGCCGCTTGTTTTTACACATTTTGTGTAAAATAGTGGGGAAATCAGCTGAATTTGAATTGCAACAAACACAACTTTTTGTTAATACAGAAATGTTGTCAAATCTACATGATTCCAATGCATAATCCAATGGTCTGTATCCTTGTGAATCCTCTTGGTCAATGTCGAAACCTTTGCGAACTAATCGCTCAAAGATTTCTTTCGTTGCGTATTTCGCGGCAATGTGTAACAATCCTGTGTTTCCAAATGTCAAAGAATTGAATTTGACATTGGATGTTTTGTTACTATCGTCCTGCAAAAAGAAATCAATCATTTGGGAACAGACTTGGTTCTTAGCAGGGCTTTTCATGTGGATTTCGGATACTTGGCTAGAAGTGAACTTAGAACAGATCAAATAGAAGAAAAGTGCTGGTAAATCCCATGAAGTAACTGCTTGTAAAACGTGTTTCGGAGTTATCTCTGGTTTCTGGGTTAAAAGAACTAATGCGGCTCCGAAATTTCTCTCAAAAATCGGAACATCGAATAAATAAACTAAATCGCGAAATGCGATGTCTTCGTTGTTTTCGTATGTCAAAAGTGCTGAATCTCTAGATGCAGCAGCCATCATCAAGGGTGTCCTTTCGCCAGGAACATCTGTTTGACTGACTCCGTTGCTTAGTAATGTCATTAACATGGCAGATGTCTTGGCTCGTGCGAAAACGGTTATTAACGGTTGTTTTCCATCGTAAAGTGGTGGGAAACCGTTTTCGAGGAGGATTTTGAGGGCCACTGTGTTACTTTCCTGGATGATCTTGATGAGAGGAGAGATGTTCGTGGCTGGGTCGCGCTCATCAGGATTGATTCCGCATTTGACCGCGAATTTGAACAGGGCGGGGTTGAATGGCTTGCGGAGGGCAAACATTCCGAAGGATTCGCGACCTTCGAATACTTTTGTCCAGTCATATTTGGTTTTAAGGAACATTATTCTTTGTATTGGGACTTTCGTGCATAGAAATGCAATATCGGAGAAGTCAAACTCAGATCCGATACTAAGTAAGTAGATAGCGCAGTCTAAATGGCCGTTTTCCAAGCAAATTTTTAGTAAATTCTTTCCTTGGACGTTTTTAATGCGTATATCGACAGGATTTACTAAAAATTGTAGGAGCTCGATAGATCCGTGTGTGGCCGCGTAGAATAATGGATTGTCGCCTGGAAATATGATGGAAAAGATATGTTGGAATGAAGTAAATGAATTGATACGTAGCATGTATTGAAGTATATCTAGATTTCCGGGGAATTTCATTTCAACGAGGCTTTTTCCGAATTTCTGTAAAAACATTGAAATAATATTTGGATTATTTCCTTCAATTGCATTGTGAAATGGCGTTTTTTGCTCATTGTTTATATAGAGCTTAATAGAATCAAATGAAAATAATTGTGCAATTGATTCTTCTTTTTTCTCTGTTACAAGAAAATGAAGAAGAGTATTTCCTTCGATATCTTGCATGTTTATATCTGATCCATGTTCTAAAAGTACATTAACTATTTCTTTCTTAAAATTTTTAAATGCGAAATGTATAGCGGAACGTCCTCTATAAATAAATGAAGAATATCATCTTTCAGATTAACAGGTGCACCATTTTCAATCAAGTAATCAAACGCTTGTTGGTTTCCATAGTAAACAGCAACCGAAAGAATTGACGGATTTTCCCTTAAGACTAAGGGAATCGAAGAGTCAGTAAGCTGAAGTCTGCTATCAATAGGAATATTTTCTGATGGCACAAGTTTCCGAAGTACTTCGAATTTGTTCTCGAACTGTATTGCAACAGTTACTTCAAGCGCTGCTGATGCCATCTGACATGTGATATGACAAAAATCTTTAGAAATTGATATTTGCAATAGTCTATTATTAAAATCATCTACATGTTTGTCGGTATTTTTCGGAAATTAAATCTTTTTCTCCAAAATTAATTCATCCCAAATTTGACTAAGAAATTATGCCATTCCTTATATTGTAATCAACATAAAAATCAAAGTAAAAATATGCAAATATCAAATTGATCATTAAAACTTAATATTTAAAATCTTATAAGATATTATTTGGGAAAATGATGACATCATTATTGAAAAATTTGTTATGCATGCCATCATAAATGTAATTCCTAACTGTTAAATGAATTTGGATATATTTCAAAAAAAATGGCTGACGAATTACCATTTTTAGACTCTCCAACATATAAGTGGATTTTTGTTGGCGGAAAAGGTGGTGTTGGTAAAACATCAACATCATGCTCAATTGCTGTCGCTTTAGCCAAAAAGCGCAATAGAGTTTTATTAATTTCTACAGATCCAGCATCAAACATCGGTGATTCTTTCCAGCAGCATTTCACAAGTGAACCAACTCTTGTCAATGGTTTCACGAATCTTTGGGCTATGGAAGGTCTAAATGAAACACTTGATTCCCAGCTCCAAGAACTCATTTCTTTTCCTGGTATTGATGAGATTACAGTTCTTGCATCATTATTCAAATCAGTCGAAAAAGACGATTTTGATGTTGTAATTTTTGATACAGCACCAACTGGACATACTATGAAATTACTTAAACTTCCATCAACAGCTGATTCAATACTAAACATTATACCATCTATTTCTTCAATTGCTCCAATGATTATGGGTGGTAATGCAGATTTTGGAAACCAGTTCAATAAATTCAAGGTTCTTTTAGATGATGCACAAAAGAGACTGACAAATCCTAAAGAATGCACTTTCGTTTGCGTTTTATTACCTGAATTCCTTCCTCTCTACGAAACTGAAAGATTAGTTACATTCTTATTTGAAAATAACATTGAATCACATTGCTTAGTCGTTAACCAAGTTCTTCAGAAAGAAAATGTTGGAAAATGTCCAATTTGCACAAAAAGATACAATAGCCAACAGAAATACCTCCACGATATTCAGGAATTATATGGTGATGAATTCCGCATTGTTCAAGTACCAATTCAGGAAGAAGAAGTTAAAGGAATTAACGCTATCAAGCATTTCTCTGAATTTATCTCTCCAATCATATCTCCCCAATAAAATATATACTATTGAATAAATATAGAATTTTCCCATTCCGGAATTTAGAGATTTTCAAATTATTTTATTTTTATTTGGACGTTATTTCAAAATTACTTAAATTCGTGTAGTGAATTTTAGGTTACCAATGAAACAGTGTTGATTTAGTGTTGAAATAATGATAAAAATGAAATAATAAATAAAAATAATCACAATTTAATCAAATTATATAAATTTAATATCATGAAACACAAAAGGTTCTTCTATCATATTTATTACCTGTTCAAATAGCATATATTAAGCTTATTCCTCTTCTTCTGTTTCATCTTCAGTAAGTTGCGGGTCTTCTATCTTAAATCCGAATAGTCTAAGTTCAATTGGAATTGGTGTATTAATTTTAAGCTTGTTGCTATAAAAATGGAAGAATATCATCAAATAACTTTGACCGAAAAATGCGCCATCAATACTATCAAGTACATCCTCGGCATTATAAACCTCATGGCAGTTAGGACAATAGATGCATAATCCGCGTTCTTTTGGATGTTCTGAAGTTCCATAAGGTAAACAATAAGTTCCATGGCAAGATATGAGTGGGCATTTTCCATATTCGCCTTTCTCATACTTTTCGTATAATTCCTTGCATCCTTGTTGAGTTTGAATGAATCTTCTATGAATTAATCCATAAAGATAATAAGCAGAACGCTCATATTCGGGGCTGCGTTGATCATCTGAAGTGGATGGTTTAATTCTTCCCTGAACCATATCATAAGCGGCTTTGAAATTATCAATTGCTCGTTCGTTTTTCAATCCAAAGGTATTAAATTGATCTTTAATGTAGTCCTGATCAACTCTCACGAAATATCGACCGATTTTTGACTTCAGGAAACGGTCAACCCAGTTTTCAGGCTCTTCCATAAGATGCATTATATTTTTTTGATACTGAATTTCAAATCAAACTTATATATCAGAACAGGCATAATATAAATAATAAAATAATTTGTGAATTTACGGGATTTGGCGATCTTTTTGGAGCGTCAAGATTTGCATGATCTTTTGGTGCAGCCATTCGTGCTATATATAAAATCTCTGTCTTAAAAATATTTATTGTGACGTTGAAAAGTTAATAGAAAAATAATTTTATTTATATATATATCCGTTGGCTTTTGGTTTAGGTTATGAAATTCTTTCCAAGAGGTCAAGTTTGAATAATTGCGAGCGCTCATACAATAATGTCTTCATTGATTTATAAAATTGATAAATCATGGCAAAACATTTAAATAAAGCGGCTATTTTTATAAGGTATCGGAGAACAAACATTAACATTAGCTATATTTCGCAATTATTATTGTTAGGTCATTGAAAATATTTTAGATTATAGTGGCACTATGAATGAAGACCAAGTATTATTGGTTGTAAATAATACTATTGATATTTGTAACTAAGAAGATAATGTGGCAAGTAATGACTGAACTAGAGCATTATGAAAAAGTAATTCTATTTAAGTCCAGCTGTAATTGGTTATTTTCTTGCATTTTGGATGAAATATCTGCTTCTAAATTCTTAATTCTTTCAATTTGTTTGGGAGTTGCTCCGTTGATAGCATTATAAACTGAATTTCTTAGTGAATCAATTTGGCTTTGCTTAAACTCAACATCCTTTGAATAAAGTTGGTACCTTTTTCTAATTTCATGTGTTGAGTTAGCTTTTTCATTATACTTTTCTAATATTTGATTTAATTGATAGTTTTTTGCAGAATAATGACTATCAAATGACTCATTTAGCTTCATAAGCTCATTATTTTCTTCTCTATTGGCTATAATTTGTTTAGAAATGGATTGTATTTGAGTATCTAACTGCTTTATCATTTCATCGCCATTTAGTTGGTAATCATTATGAATTTTCTGCTTTTCTTTTTCTTTTATCGTAATATAGTTTAGATTAAACGTTTGTTCCTCGTGTAAATCATCATACTTCTTATGTAAATCATAATTTTCGCTTTGTAGAATGTATATTTGCTCTTTTAATGCTTTAATTATTGTCTTGTATTCGTCAATTAAATTATAATTTGATTCTATATTGGGGTCGTCTGCATTTGATAAAAATAACGAATGATAATAACTTGTAAAGTTTGTATAACATTGCTCAACCGTTTGGCTTTCATTAATTATTTTCATTACATTAATATTATTGGTCAATTTTTCGTTTTCTGTACTAATCTCTTGAATTAAATTCTGAATCTTTGCATCAATGAGCTTGTCTTTAAGCCTAAAGTATTTAGCTGAAATAGTATCATCATTTAGTGATTTAATTATGTTTTCTGCAATTACAAGAAGTTTCCGATTTGTCATCAATTATAAAAATAAAATGTTATCAATTTCTTTGAATATATTCAATAGCTTCAGCATATAGAAATCTTGTAATTTTGTTGATAATGACTAGGAATGCAAGAGTAAAATAATTTCCAAATGAAATGAATTAGATTTGCCAATTTTTTGATTATATCGACTGGGAATGCTGACTTGAGCTGTAATTTTTAAAATGCAAATTCTTAGTAAAATTTTTAAACGTGCACAAAATCTTGATGGCAACAAAAACGTTGCCAAAAGATTTCACAGAGAAGTTATTGATATCTATTCAGGGTGTTAAAAATGAAAATATGAAAATCAAAGCAGAAATAGATGATTTAGAATCGAAAAACAGCAATTTGGAAAAGCTTATATTAGATTCTCAACAGAGACTTGCATATTTAAGATCAAAAGATTCTGATAATAAGTCTCTTTCATCCCAAATTGATGCTTTACACGAACGAATTTCATTTAAAGAAGAAGAAATTGATAAAAATAACGAAGAATTATACAAATCTCAAGAACTTTTAAGAGAAACAGTAATTAGAATAACATCAAATCGTAAACGAAGGAAAGCATTACAAGAAAAATATGATCAAATTTCGTTTCGAATTGTACAGTTATCTCAGCAAGCCAAACAGTTTGAGCCAACACTTCAGGATGTTGAGGATTCTAACAAATTACAGAAATATACTGCCGATAAAGAAGCTCAATATAATGAAGAAATTGAACTTCTTGAAAAGCAAAATATCGAAATAGAACAAAAAATAAAAGACATGGATAATGCTGGTGATACTGACATAGATATATCGATGAGAGGAGATCTTATCGATGATTTAAATGCCAAAATTGCCGAAAAAGACAGAATTATTGATGATTTAATCAAAGATGAAAAGAGTTTAATACAAAAGAATCTAGATATAGAAGCAAAGATGAGTCAAGTTGATGATCTTAAGACTGCACTCTCTAAAAATCTTTCGCAGGCAAAAGAAAAACTAGAAAAATACAAGAGTATGTTTGTAGCAAATCATCAAAAATTCTGCACAATTCAGGAAGAGACAGAAGGTTTGGAAGAGAAGCTTGCTTCAGCTAAGTCAGGAATCATGATCAAATTACAATCTATTGAAAGTGAAGAAGATGAAAAAAACTTGATGTCAATTCAATCAATGAAAGATCAATGTAATGAAAAACAGCAGGCATTGAGTGATCAAATAAGTAAACTCAAAAGTGTTGAACAAGAAAACGATCAATTAAGAAGCCAAATTCAACAGTTAGAAGAAAACATCAAGTCAAATGAAGCTAAGTTTGTTCAAAAGAAGAGTTCTCTTGCTAATGTAATAGAAGTAATTAAATCAAGCCTCAGGGAATTAAAGGAAAAGAATAATTAGTAGCCACTTATTCTATCCTACATCACAGGTATATTAATGTTATTTTTTTATATGTTTGTTTATGTTTTTATAAAATATTATCATAAATTAAAAATTATTTGAAATGTAAGGATTTGCGGGTAGTTTAGCGGATGTTATCTCGCAATTTTGCATTCACTCGGATTGTTGTGCATTTTATTTTATGGGAGAATCGTTATAACATTAAAATAAAATATTTTAAACGTACACATTATGAGTGAGAACAGCTGTCCTAACTCAGAGACTAAAAAGACACCAACAAAGATATCAATTGAAGAAAGACTGAAGCGTGATGAAATTGAGCTTAATAGCCAGAAAGAACAAAATAAGATTTGCAATGAATACATTGCCAAATTCGAAGCTGATGTAATTGCACTTCAAGCAAAGCTTGAAAAGGAAAAAGAGAATACAAATGCAAGAATTCAAAAGCTTAAAGACGAGTTAAATGCTCAAATTTGTCAAATAATTGATCAAACAAGAGAGAGTGTTGAAATTGAATCCAAAGTTCCTCTCTTCGATGTTGAAAAGTTGAAAGTTGTTAAAGGAAATACAAGTTCAATTAAAAACGCTTTATCTTCAATCAGTGAAGATTTCAAGAATGAGTTTCAGAGCTTCTTGAAAGAATTTACAGCTACTAAAGACTCTACAAAGCAGGTTCTTATGAAATTTACCGCTCAAAAATATAGCGAAACAGAAGAATCTACGAAGAATGACAACGCAAGATTACAAAAAGAGATTATATCAAGTGCGTCAGAACTAAGTCGTCAGGTAAGTAAATTATCTAAGGTTGAAATATCACAGTCATCTCCGTCATACATGGAAAAATCTGTCAAAGAAAAAGTTTATGTAGATTCAGCTACAGATGCTCATGAAGTTCCTGAAAAAGTCGTACGACTCAGTAGCTTTGCTGCTAAATGGATGCTCCAATATCAAGAATTCTTATCATGAATTTACAATTATGTTCTAATAGAAGAAAAAAATCGGATTTGACACTTTACAGTGTCAATTTTTTAAAAAATCGAAAAATAAAAATTATTCTATTTAATAGTCTTTTTGGAAAATTAGCTTTGATAAGTCTAAATATGCTGAAAGAAATGACTTTTATTATGATTTGAAATCAAAGATTTTAACGATTATTGTAAACTAGATCCAGGCACAAACCATGAATTCCCACGAGATTGAGAGGCGCGGCGACGAAATAAAGCGTCAAGCCGAGTGCCTTGAAACGGGAAGACGTGGTGATAACAGAATTGTTATTAAGCTTGGTCAATTAAGCTCTTTCTTCAGTAGAATTGCGACAAATAAAACACCAACACCGCAAGGTAAAGAAATTTTAGCATTTCGAGGAGTAGATCCTATTAAAGCAGATGAAGTGTTAGAAAAAATCAAGAATGTTAAAAAGACACAAAAAATTGATAAACAAGAAACTGGATCGGCAACAATCAATTTTACTACCCCAGTTATCGAAGCAGATCAATTTAACCAAATTGCAATGGTTGGGGATAATCTACGTCAAAAAGCTCAAAAATCAATCGAAAAAATTAATTATCAAAACATCGAACGTGGACAAATTGGTCGTGTTCAACATCTTGATGTTGATGCTGCATTAAAACTTTCAGCAAATTCAGAAAAAGCAGAGAAATTAGCAATTGATATTAAAAAAGCGTTATTATCAGAACAAAAGTTAGATTTAGCTAAAGTACTACAAAAAACATACGATCCAGAAACCAACAGCGTCTTCTCAAGCTATTTCCGCCTATTGAAAGAAGATTCTGATCAAATTGGTTTTCTGAAGAACCAGTATCGAATTGCAAACTTTGGCAAGCTAGAAAAAGATATAAGTCTTCATGATGTTGAAGAAATATCTCAAAAGAAGCTTCCAAAGATCGACAATTCCATTGATCCTTATTGGAAAGTAATTTGGGTCGCATTTAGAGCCGGCCTCGATCGTATATTAAGAGAAATCAAGAGAGACAACGATAAGAAACAATTCCATCCTATAATCGATTTAATTTTACAAGAAAATCAACAAGATAATTCAAATGAAAACGGATCTATGGGATCTTTCGATGTAATGACACAAGATAATCGCAATCCTATATCAGCAACCATTGAAGATATCTGTTCTGCTCAGCAACCTTTAGAAGATGCTTCTCTCCTTGAAACTACCGAAGATTTTCTGTTCGACCAATTATATCCAATTAAGAGATCGAGCACGCCAATCATTACTAAGAATGTCCAGCAGATTATTTGGGATGAAACGGCCCAAATTGTTCGACATAACAAAGATTTTGAATTTACTCGTCCTCTTTTCCTTATTTTAACAGACCAGTATGATGAAGCTGCCAAGTGTCTCTTGGAATGCAACCAGCATCTCGTAGAAACTGCTCACATTTGCTTATTATTGTATCCAAAATTAAGAACACTTAAATACCTCGTTGGCGAGTTCATTGAGAAGTATGTTACAATTCTTGGCGAGGAATATTCCGATGTTGCCGCATTTTACCTTGCATATCTCACTTTACAAAAGGATTCCGACCCAACACCGGTCAATAGAGTTCACCGCTACTTAGTTAATCATCCGATGTTAACTATACCTCATGAATTTGTCAAGAATTTCAAGAATTGTATTCCGGATTATAATACTTTCGTAGATGACTCGAAAGATAAGGAAGCTTTGGCCAACGCCATCATTGTGCTATCTGTTCTAGAGAGATATGACCGATTCGACTACATTGATCATGATAAAAACAAAATTAACGCTCAAAATGGCGAAGATGGTAAGAATAATGATGGTAGTGAACAAGATAAGATCAATCTTAAGGATTGCCTCAAAATTATTCCAGAAGATAAATTATTAATTCTCACAGAAACGTTATCTCGTGATGTAGTGAAGAACCATTACGAGATGTGTCCTTATCTTGCTGGTTTGGCCCAAAAAACAGCCACACTTTGCTTATCCAGGGCAAATACACTTCCTGATACCGAAAAGTATAGATTATTCGATGTTTCAACGAAGATATTCGAAGAAGATGATGTTGAGAAACCTCTTGTTTATAGCTATTTCGATTTATACCTTGGATTCCTTGAAAATGACCAAGAAAGAATCGAAAAAGTCATTGAACAAGAAGAAATCTTCCCAAGGACTAAAGATGATATCAAGCCAACATTAGAAAACATTAAGGCATCTAAGGTGGACCCTTACGGAACAATGATTGGAGAAACAACTGCGAAAACAATAATTTATCTTATCAAATCTAATGAAGATCCTGATTTATTGAATGTTCTGTTTTATTATATTAATTTCTTAAGAGTTTCGAATGAAACTCACCAGCATATCATGGCTTTAAAGCTAGAGCGTAAATAATATATTATTTTTATATATATAATTGGATTTTTTATACAAAATAATTACTATTTTTAAGGAGGAGAATATGGTGATCTAAGATCATACAAATTTCTTTTCAAGCCTAAAATTTTATAATGAAATTCTTTTGAAACTTACGATTACCCTCTCTTTTTGAAATCAGATGGGAAAGCATCGTATTCTCTATCAATGATCAAATAATCTGAATATTCAATTAATTTGATTCAAGATATAAGTTTTCATAATTCATGTGGCATACTCATAAAAAGATTTAAGAATAATGCCACATGAAAAACACAATTTCTCATAATTTTCAATCTTCTAAAAAAAAATGGCGGAATATCGGTGAAAATTTACTTTTATTCAGGTAACATAGTATATGCTTACATTTTTATGATAGTAATTGAGCAAGTGGTATCTCCTTTACTTTATCAATATATTCTTTTTTCTCTTCTTTTGAATATTTATTAAACCATTCGTATTTAAGAGTCTCTATATCATCAGGGGAAGAGGCTCCCGTATCTATCAAAAATAGCTCAAAACCTTTGGCATCGTAAATGGCCTTTGCAGTTTTTTTGTATGCTTTGTTTAACGTTTGATTGATATCCTTGATCAGATTTGTTGCCTCGCCAATCAGCTCATCGATATTAAGAGTTTCGGTGCTCATAAGATGCTATTTATTTGAAGTGAACTTGGGAAAGTCAAAAATGAAAATAAAAAAATGAAATTGGTATTATTATATAGATTGCATGGTATAGCATATATTAGTTTAAGGCACCAAGTTCATAAATTTTGTGGGGTCTAAAATCCTTAGAGGTAGGGCAACGATAGGTCAAAAAGGCTTCTCTGATAGATTTCCTTGCCTTTTGGATATGCTATAATATATAGCCTAGCATGATAGGATATGATGTCAAAAGTTAGAACATAACTTAGGATCTTGAGAAAAATGAAAAACAAAAATTACATAAAAAAAGAAAAATTTTATCTAATTTGTTTTTTTGGACCGAATAAGTAATTTTATTGAATTTCAATACGACACATAGATTTTTTTATTAGTAATAAATATAATGGTTTACTATTAACAAGGAACCTAAACTAATGAAAATTTGATTTCAAATATTGTATATGATTATCATAGATTACCAAAATATATTGCTATTTATGAGGATATAATATTGATTATTAGTAAATCGTATAAATTTAATAAATATACCATGAATATTGAATGAATTTCTTGATTCATAGGGGTAAAACGCGCTTTTATATGATTTAGACAGAGAATTTATGAGATGTAAATAACACAATAAAGGTTTATATTGAATATTTTCTAAAAATAAATCGAAATTATAAAAAACAATACATTTATTCATTGAAACTACTTGGACAAATATGAAACAAGCATTCAGGCAATACTTTTGAGACTTCAACGCATCTGATAATTTTTATATAACTTCACCTCTTATGCTTAGAGTGGAGGTATTGAGATCGTATAAGTATAGATGAGCTCACATTCAGATATGATGTGTGAACTTCTGTTTTCACTGCAATTTTGAATCAGAATAAACTCAAAACAAGAATAAAATGATATACTCACTCTCTAAATGTGTTCGAGATTTAAAGTTGTATGAATAAAACGATTCATCTTTCGAAGCCTCCCATTTAATGAGAGACTTCGAAAGATGAATGTATTCATGTAGATGAAATACTATATATGACCATGTGTGATACTAAAGATATCAAAATGTTCATTTTTAAGTGCAATAGAAGGGTTATCTCTCGTAAAATCTCAATTTAAGGAAGATTTAGAAAGAACTCCTTTCCTAAGTAGATAGTGTGTGGTTTCTGTCTTTTGGTTGATCAGGAACTATGAAATTAAGTCGGACAGAAAGAAGTTCTTTCCAAAACAGACTCCAAATGAGTTGTTCGAAAAGAACTTCCTTCTGTATATGGATAATTGTAGTTACCGCACTGAAGTATGTGATTGTGATGATGGAGTTCTCGATAAATCTAAAATCGGATTAAGATTAATTGAAAACTCAAGTAATTCTTTGAAATCTTGTGTTGTCTGGCACTATAATAACCAAAGAATGAGAATATTATGTTGAATGATGAGTACGTGTGCTCGGCATTCGCCGAGCGAATTGAGTTTAACGTACTATGAAAAGTGACAAATTTGGGCTTTTTTTCCTAGGGTTATGATCTCTTCCTTTCTGCTCAATACGACAGAAATGAAAGAATGAATTTGTACTCCCTAATTGATTACTACAATCTGTATCTATCTTTAACATAGAATTAGCTGCATTGTGATTTATACTCCAGAATTATTCAATTTAAGATCAACCTCGTAAATTTTAATCATATTGCACCAATACTCCTACGTTGAGATAAGAACATGATTATACATACCAAAGCCCCATATTAAAAATCAAAATTTAGCACCTCCATTATGCAACCACATTATTCGTCGCAAATAAGTATATTTACGCATATTATGATGCATATTCACACAACTCGTATACATGAAAAGTTATTAAAATCAGACAAAATTATTGCAATAAGGAAAAAAAAACAACTTTATTATATATGTTAGTAATGAATTACAAATATTTCTACAAAGAATGCTCAATACTTCATATAATCTTCGAATATTTCTTATTACAAGTTAATACATTTTGACTCGAACATGATAAACAAAAGCTGACACGCTGATTACTACATTTATGAAAATATAGTACGTTTCCATTCATCTGTTTACTTGTTTTTGTTGGAATAAAATCATTTTTTTTTCTTTCATGAAATAAGAATTTTGCTGCGAAAGCAATATCTCTAACAATAATTAATACATTACGTCAACTCTGGAATGAGTATTTATCAAATATGATATCAAAATCAAAAATTAGTTGTTTTTTATGAGTAAAAACGATGTAAATTGATTATTTGACTAATTATCAAATACTTTGATTTTCCAAATTTTTTTCGAAATTGATTTTTTCATGTGAAAATTCAAATTGTTTAATTTCATTTTTGAAATTTTGAATTTTTTTTGGAATTTTGAGTTGATCAATTCAGCAGAATTGATAATGCTATTGCTTTAGGGCATACCACAAGGTGATGAATAAAAGGTGAACATTAACAAATTATTTTAAATCACAAATATCATCCTCATCAACTTTAATTCTAAAAAGAACTGTACTGAATTATGAAAATGCATGATTTACATTATTAAAATCTTTGAATGAAAATAGTACAAGATAAGTTTTTATTCATTTTTAATTAGATTTAAACGAAAAACTACTCCATATTAAAATTTAAGTCGAGAAATCGTATTTTGTTCTTATTTGTTAGCATTTTGTAGACATTCTAATCTTGAATTAATTTGTTACATGATATTATTAACAAATTTAACTGAAAAAATATGTTAATATGGAATAAACCATGATTATATAAGCTATCAATGCTATATATACATATGTAAAAGATTCATATTAACTCAATTAACAAAAATGATAGATTTTCATAAAGGTTCAATCTAGGTTCGTCCGAAAATTTTGATTTTTATATAGAAGACATAGTTTCATATACATAATTAAATTTTCAAACAAATTTGATCATACCATTTATTAAGCAGGATAGTATATTAATTACTATCAGTATAAAAATATAAAAATGATTATATTTAATTATTGCATAATTTAGTCAAAGAGTTATAAGCCTCAAGTGATCGTTATCACCTTCAATGCACGTATACTTTATTGATTCATAGATATTTAATCTATGTTTGACATGTTGTTGTCGTCATTCGTTTTGTTCCCATTCTTCCTAAGTTAGAATTAGAGAATACACCATCCACATCATCTAATTTGGTCCTCAGCGATAGATTGGTTCATTTTGGAGGAGTCCCATCAGACAGTTTTCGAGCACCAAATATCAAATTTTAATGTATACAAATCTTTAGTGATTTATCTCTTTTATGATGAGTAAAAGGTTTCTGCTCATCAACATTTGATTTCCGACATATATGATTTCTAATTGCAATTATTTACTTTCTTTTTATAATCTAACTCTGTGACTCATACCATAAATTAATTATTGGAAAGTGTCAATATGTTTGGCACAACGCATGGCGGAAGATACCAAACCATGCAGGGAATATGATACGTTTAAGATCTCCGAACTTTTTTCCAAAAATTTTCTATCGTTGCCCTACCTCTAAATCCTTTTTTCCAAGGATATAGCAGTGTTTCCATTCAATTAAAATATATTTACTATATGAAGTAGTCCATATGTGTGCATAGTACCATAGGCAGTTTCTGCTTAAGCTGTTCAGATAGCAAGATAAAGACATCCAAAAATAAGATTTAATGATTATGGAGCCTTATATATATAAAATTACTGGGTATTATATTTGGAGCTGTAGATAATTAATATACTTCCAAGCGCCTCGTATTGTGATGTGTAGGCATTTAAAAAACAGGTAAATGTTAATCATAAAATAAAACAAACAATTTATTGGTTTTTGACAACATTAATTAGTTCTGTGACTGGTTGTCTACATACAGGACAAATTGTGGACATTGCAGCAAATTTCAGGCTGCATTGTTGGCACATTGAGCAATGTCTGCATGGAAGAGATATAACTGTGGCTGGTTCTGAAAAACATATTAAGCATGTGTTTTGATCATTATTATCATTATCAAATGCTTGATCTTGACAAAATACTTTTGTAATTTCTAGTTTTTCATCTCCAGAGTAAATAGTATCGCTAACAAGTATTGGTTGAGAGTTTCTTTTAATAGTAAAAGAAAATACTCGTAAAAATTTTGGATCTCGATTTGAAAATGTAAATTTAACATCGAATTTCTCGCCTGGAGGACGTTCAAATGTATATATTTGATCATTTCCAGGTCCGAAAGAGTAATTGTTAGAATACGAATCATTCGTTATTAGCATATCGCCCGATTCTGAAGCTGAGAATGCAATTGATAGTTTATCAACTTTAATTGATGGAAAAGCGCATGAAGGAAGCCCTATTGGGCTATACACATCTCTTGCGACTTCTTCTCGAATTGGAATTACTGTACTGACTCCAATTTCTTTAAGATGGTTCGCTATTTCTTCATCAAGAACCTCTGAAACTTCGCGTGGTTCGCCGCCCCCTAAAAAAGCAAAGTTCTGTCCGGGAATCCCGATTACCGATCCCATCGAACTTTTGCAAAAGTGATGAGTAAAAAGCATATTTAATTAACATAGGATTTTTAATCAATAACAAACAATTTAAATTTAATGATCGCAATTTAATTTTGTTCACTAATTGAATTTTAAATTCCCTCTTTTAGTGAGCTTTAATATGGGGTTATTAATATATTTGATGGAAATCATGTGAAAATAAAAAACAAAAAATCATGACAAGAAATAAAACAAAAGGATACGTATTTTCAGATTGATTTGATTCTAATCAAGTTTGGCATTTGAGAAAATGAAATTAATAAAGTTCTTTGTAGAAATAAATCCAATTCCTCCATAAGATAACCCAAACATCAAAGAAATGAGCAATGATCTTGTTAAGAAAACAGTTGCACTTATATATGATCTGATTTCAAACTTAAATAAATAAAAATAAAGTGAATAAATAAAAATTGGAATCATTGCTGCTGCCGGAGCAGCAAATGAGATCCATTGCCAATGATAGTTCTCATTATGTATTCTAAAGTATATAAAACAAATAGATGCGCAAGCTGCAACAATATTTGACGTCAATGTAGATATAAAAAGTCCTGCGAATGAGTCACATGGTTTCTTAAGCCAAATGAAATTATTCAGATAGAATAATTCCGGTAAAATTGAAGAACAAACAAAAATTGTTATAAAAATGCAGCCTGAAAATCCAGACAAGTACCATGGTTGCGGAGGTATTGTGTGTGGTACAAGGGCTGTATCAAAGCTATTTCTTTGCAAATTATATTTATAAGATATTGCTCCTGAAATTGTTGAAATAAAGAGACATGGGAAACATATAAATGATATAAGCATCGTAACTGTGGATAAAGAAATGGAATATGGTGATGAATAGTTTGTAAAGAAATTAATTGATAATAAAATCATTAAATAGCAAGTAAATGGTAATATAACTGATGACAGAACAATTCTAAGCCATTTCTTATCAGAAAATAGAATTGATAATGATGATGAAAACCAACCTGAAATTATTGATGAAAATACATATGCAATTATGAAAGCTTGTATATAGCGGGTAGAATTATGGTCCTTGTTAAATGCATATGCATAAAAAGTTACGGATATTAATGTGATTAAGCAACTCATTCCATGAGAAACAAAATTAGCGAGTAAAAAATGATATTGAGGAGCATAAAACATGTCTCCATGTAACAGCATCCATCCTTTGTCAGAAGTCATCAAAAGATCGAAATCTTCATTATGAGTAGAAGGATGTTCGAATTCCGATTTCATTTGATTGTATATTGTTATTACTAATGAAATAAATAGTAATGCTTGAACAATACTACAGATTGAAGCATATTTTCTCAAAAGATGATCAACGAAATAATCATTGTTCGTATTAGGTGTCGGAGGACGCCCTTGTATGTATTTTGTAGAATAAACAAACTTGATTTGATCAGATGGTTTAACTTCTGTTAAATTTGACAAATTCAAAGTGAAATCAACAATCTGCATTCCATTAGTGTATATCGTAAAATAGAATGTTGTGTATAATTTGAGTTCTGATTGATTCGTTGTTCCAATTGGAACAAATTTTGTATTCTGATCAATTGTTATTTGATAGTTTTTGTGGGTAATTATTAGATTTTTAAGTATTTCTGTATCAGCTGATGTAATATTCATAGTTGCAAGTTCAATATTTGATTGGTCATGATCAAAATAAAGATGAAATCCGATATCAATCCCGTTGTTAGCAATAACTTTATCTGATATGGAAAGTTTTGGTTTAACTCTATCTTTAACCTGAATAGTGTTAAAAAATGGAATTGATAAAAGAAAGATATCCTCAGAAGGGGCACCTTGAATACCAATATTATTTGCATATCCGATAATGGTTTCATTATCTAGATAAGAATGAGATCCTGAGTAAGAAAGGATAACAAGATAATGAAGCATTATGACTTTTACGAGGAAATAAGTATTGAATTTAAAAACGATGAATACTTCAATTAATGCGATTTCTAATTTCCAACTCCTATATGTATGAAAAATTCACAAAATTAATCAGGACTGATATTGATTTTATGATGAGGAATACTTATGTATTTAAATTGAACATACGATGTTGTAAAGAAAACCCTTTTTATCCTATCTTTTTAAAAAAAAAATTATATTGTTTCGGAAATATCATAGAATAATAACATGTTTCAACATTTTATATGTATTAAATACATTTTGTACTGTTGCTTCCTTGTAATAATTCCACATTGACGATATGATAGGACAAAATATAGTTTTTTGTTGTTTTTATTGAGAAAACTAAATATACATTTAATTACCATGTAGAACTTAAAGTTAAAATAGATTCGATGATACAAATCTGATTTGAAAATGGGAAAATGATAGTCAAAATTATCTTGATTTGGATATATAAAGTTTTGAATCTTTCTATCGAATGCTCCTTCATTGAAAATTCTCATAAAATACTTATGTATACAAATTTTTTGTGTTCAAAGCACAATTGAATCAATTAAATTTAAAAGAACCAGAAACTTTAGGAATTAGATTGTGAATGAACATTGCCCAAAAACAATGAATAAACTATATTGAATGATATATTTGGCAGAAATACGTATAAAACAAAATCTTCACAATTCAAATTTGAGATGAACCGTTGGAAAGTAATGATTGGTATTTTGAATGGAGGTATCGAATTTTCATAGAAACCATATGCTTATTCATGTATTTGAGAATCAATTCATGTATTGGTGATGTTTATGAAGGGATCGAAATAATAACGTGTACAAGAACAAGCTCTCATTGAAATAATAAATATTGAACAGTTAGATTTCAAGAATTGACTTGGAGCAATGAATTAATTAATATCATTATAATGATCGCTCATTAAAAACAAAATGATTAAAAACAATATTAATAAATTTTCAGAAATATTTTAGAAAGAATCCCAAAGAGGAGATAATTATAGAAATGTTGCATTGCAAATCCGAACATTAATTTCATTTTACCAAAATCAACAAAATTAATATTAAAAATAAATACAATTACGATAAAAAACAAAAAATACTTTAAAAAGTCAAAAAACAATGAATCATAGACCATTAATTAAAATCATATTTGGATGCTAAAAGAAATATATTAAATTGAAAGAAAATACATGAAAAGAAAATTGAAAAATGAAAGAAGATAAAATATGCAGCATAATTCATTTGAGAAATTGTGAAATATTCTTTGAATCTTAAATTATATCGATAAAAAATAATTGAATTATTGAATCAAATTGAAATTAATTTTATGACAACCAAGAAATGATTTGTTAATCAAGAGCAATCATTTTTCTTTTCAAAATAAAAAATAATTGAATAATAGAATTGAATGTGGGGAAAGATGAATGCCTATTAATATTTCTCTATAATTAAATTAAGAATGAAATTGAAATTGTATTTGATAAAATTTTGAAAGAAAAATAAAATGACAGTAAACATAATAAAGCGTAGGAAAACTGCTCTAAAATGTTTTAAAAATTTAGATTCACAAAATTGAATCAATAGATTTTTGAATACTTTACAATATTTATATAAATTTACATAAATTTTTACATTAACAATAAATATTAGCTGCTTCAATGATGATTAAGTAGTTGAGAAATGTCAAACGGATTGAATATCAGATTTGATTTGTTCGATTCTTTTTTAGAGACGCTGACAATATCCGGAATATAAGGACTTACCTCTTCCCAGTGCTCTGCATACCAGCAAAGTAATGCAGTCCTATTTCTTTTGGCTAACCGATCAATCGGGATATTTAGTTTAGAAATAAGTGAATTTGCGATCAATAATAAGAATGCAGTAGTCAATTTGTCTTTGCATATTTTTTCTAGGCAAGCAGAAACAAAGTCGACTTTAATTCCTATCTGTTCCATTCTTGAAACTATCCTATTGTGATCTCTGAAACTTTGAGCTGTGTTCCTTTTATGTTTATTAATCCTACGTGTCTCAATGATATCCTTAAATATCTGTGGATCGATCTGGTCTAGCATGAAAATATGTTTTTGATATACATTCAATTTGTGTTTTGAATATTTCCAATGATATCTCAAAACCTATATACCGATATAACTCTGTTCTTAGATTCAGCATATATACAGAACAGAAAAAACTAAAGTCTTAATATGCATAATTAGATTGAAATGAAGCTTTCAAAAAAAATTGTTCGAGAAAGTGAAATCAGTAATAATATTATCGTTATATTATTGGTTCTTAGATTGCAGAATTATTTTTCAAAAAAAAAAATTGATATTCATTTGTGTTTTCTTTTGGAACATAAACAATATGAGAATATGTATGAGATTCAAACTATTTTTTATATTTTTTTTGAAAGAAGTATAGAATCAAAATATACCGGATGATTTTTGTTTTGTATAATATTGAATCACTTCCTGCTAAATGTTTTAAACCGTAATGTTCCATGTAAGTATTTTGAAATAATTTTTTTCTACTTTTTCATAATCACCTTTATTAAATGTTGCTTTTATCCATCCAAATTTTTATGTTCATTGAAATATAAACCATTTAAAAAATTCTGATAAGTATTTTTCGTTGTCCAATATATGATCCGATTATTTTCTTCTTACGAACTCCATCACTTTCATAAGCTGACAGTCTTGTATTCAAATCCTCAAAATTGAATTGAATCAGAACTCAAATTTTCCTATGTGGCCTTCCCCCAACTTACAATATTTCTTCTTAATAATCGTATTCATTTCCCGGTATAGCAATTTTTTGTGAATAATTTTTGAATTCTTTCACAATTCTCTAGCCATTTTTCTTCTTCATTAATTATTTCATTTTATACCATTTATATGTGAAACATAATTAATTATCATTTAACCATGAGATTACTTTTTTTTTCTCCCTCCAACTTCAGCGATTAATCATAATAATATAACTTTTATTTTTTATTCATTTCCCTTTGGTATAATTCGATTATATTTAAATTTGTTAGTTATCATTAAAAGCCAAATTCAAATGAATTCGATTCCATCCCTTTCACTTCTTTTTTCCAAGAATTTATTTAATCTCCTATTTTTCGGTTAATTTATTCGATCATCATTGTTTATTAATTCTTCATTTCGTTCGATTGCAATCGAGACGAAATAGAGTCCTTTAATAAGCACTCTTTTGAAAGTCCAATGCTCTAAACATATGTATTATAGGAGTTATGAAACTGTAATTTCGTTCAAGAAGGTAAAATAACATTCTTTATTTGTTCAAATTTAGTAAAAATGCATCAATGAAAGTAATTTTGATCCTTACTCGGAGAGTTAATTCTATATTCGCAATATGGAAGTATTTTAAAAATGAGAATATACTTTTGTTTCTCGAAAAGTGTCGTTTGGAAATTAAAAAGTGACAAAGTTTATATGAATTTTAATGAATCTCATGTTGAATTGGTAAATTCCATAACAGATCATTTCAAAGTGATCGAAAACATTGGAGATGGAACATACGGAAGTGTCCAGAAATGTAAAGACGAACGCACAAACGAAATCGTCGCGTTGAAAAAAATTAAAATCATAAATCAAAATGATGGGTTCCCGCAAAATACAATTCGCGAAGTCAAATTACTTAAGCAGCTACGTCATGACAATATTGTTCTCTTAAAATCGGTTGTTCACTCAAAAAGTGATCAATCAATTTACCTTGTATTTGAATACTGCTATTATGACCTTGACGCTTTGATACATATGCAAGATATACCAGAAGCTACCATTAAAACTATAATGCGCCAACTAATAACCGTTCTCTGCTATTTAGCAGTCAAAAACGTTGTTCATAGAGACCTCAAGCCTGCAAATATGTTTATAACCAAAAACAATATACTTAAACTCGGTGATTTTGGCCTTGCAAGAGAATTAACAAATAAAGGGCGTTATTCCGATAGTGTTATTACTCTTTGGTACCGTCCGCCTGAACTCTTCCTTGGGTGTCACGAGTACGGTCCAGAAGTCGATATTTGGAGCGCTGCATGCATTTTATACGAAATGATCGCAAAACAGCCATTATTCGCCGCACGTGAAAACATATCGCAAATACATGAGATATTCAAGATTTGTGGAACGCCGGATGACGACGATTGGCCAGAATGGAAACAATACGATTCTAACAAAGCTATGCTGTTTACTTCAGCAGCAAAGCTTCCAAACAGATTAAAAGAACATCTCAAGAAACATTTACCACCAGAACAACACGATATTATCGATTTACTTCTCAAAATGCTTCGAATGAATCCAAAGAAGCGAATTAGTGCAGAAACTGCAATGAATCACCCTTACTTCAAGAAGGCTGGGTTCGAGGTTGATCCAAGAACTCTTCCGGAGTTAACTTTGCCTGAGATGCATCAACTCAAAATTAAAGAAGCCAAGGAGCAGAAAAGGCATCATCAGTCACCTCAAAAACCTCATTTCGAACCATTACAATACTAACTTTTTTTTATTTATAGAGTTATTACTTTTTGTTCTTAATATTAAATATAGAATTATTAATTATAAAGATTTTTTCATGAGAAGATAAAGGTTCAAGCTTAATGGTGACGAGTGTATCGTATGAAGAGTAGCTCTTCTGGTCCTCGTGGAATGGTCTCTGTATTGAATTTGACTAATCTTTCTTATGACTGTTGATTGAGGCAACGGCTTCGATACGAGCGACCAGCAAAAAAAAGTTAAAAATGTTAATAATTCGAGCAAATTGATGAAACTTAATTTGAATTTTTTGTTGCATTGATCTAACTACATATCTATTCCTAAATGTTTGATTCCATACACGAGTACAATCTATGAACTGAAGGAGACGTTTTTGGGATCAATATCTGATGTGGGAGCCCTTCTAAGCCTTGATATCTCAATTTTTAAGGTAAAAAGCTATTATAAATCACAATATAGTGCTAAGTGATATTTATAAAAAAGGGAGGGAACTTCAACCTTTGAATGCATCGAGACTTCTAACTATTACCAACAGATATCTCTCCCTTTTTTTATAATAAAGATATTTTGATTTTGCAAGAGCATGTCAGAAAAAAAAATTTAAAAAAAATAATTCTCAAAGCTTGAAATCTCAATTTTTTAGGTATAAAGTTATTATAAATAAGGATCCCGGCTGGCTAAAAACCGCTGGCTATAGCCATTTCCCCAAAAAAATCCCTTAGCCAGTATCACAATGCTAATGCCAGGTGATATTTATAATAAAGATATTTTTGATTTTGCAAGAGCTCAAAAAAAATTTAAAAAAAAATATTTAATATTTAATTTCCGACTTTTGAACGAAGTTCTGCAAGTTCTGCCTTCAACATATCAATTCTCTGTTTTCTGTTATCATAATCTTCATCCTGTTTTGCGAACAATCTTGACGAGAAGTCCTCAATGCTCTTTTTTGTTGCTTCAACAGCCAAAATATCAGCACTGAGTTTTTCAGCGTAGAGACTTTCCTGTTTTATAGCTTGATTAATTGGGTGGTCTTCAGACTGAAGGTTCTCAAGCTCCATGGCCATCGCCTGCCTCAAAAACCCTTTGTTGTTCTCCTGTGACCGAATTGACAAAATTGAAGAAGCGTCACTTTTTGACTTCCTCGAGGAAGTAGAAAGTGACTTTCTTGGAGAAAACGACTCTTTTTGTTCGTACTGTCTTATCTCCTGCTTGACCTTCTGGATGTTCTGGAGAAGGGCATCGCGTTCGGACATCCACGCGTCGTCTTCTTTCACTGATTTGGCCTTACTTTCTTGTACTAGTTGTTGTCTTTCGAGCCATCTCTCCATTGATGCATCGGAAGCGTAGGAAATTCTAGATCTGTCATCTACTTGTGATGTACGGGAACTACGATTCGATCTGCCTTGTTCTGTCTTCAAATTTTCTTCGGTTTCTTTTAATTGCCTTTGTTTGTTCTTTATTTCTTCATCCAAGGCTTGTATCTGGTCATTCATGAGCTCAATGTTACTATCTGGATTTGTACTGATTTCTAGACTGATGTCGCGTATCTTTTGCTGATAATCTTCGCATTCTCTGGTTAATTTCTTAAATTCTTCATCTTGTTGGTTGATACTCTTCTGGATATTAGAGATCTGTATGTTCATCTGTTTCATGTCTTTGTTTTCGGGCTGGTTCTTTCGAGATTTGTTTGATTTCACTGATTTATTTTCGCTTTTGGCATCATTGGTCATATCATAGTCAACATAGCCTGGAATTTGTTGAATTAACTGCTCGTATTTCTTTTGAAGGGCTGCGTTGGCGAGTTTTTGCTTTTTGATTAAATTATTCATTTCCTTGATGACGTTCTGTTGGCCATTGTATACGCCGTTAACTATTGCATCGCGTACATCAAAAGCATTCATTCTATGGAAGAAGTCGCCGCTGTAATAACTTTGTTCTGGAGGTTCTGGGTATTGCTTGCGTTTCTCATCTAATTCTTCAACATTTAATTCTATAGTTTTTCCATCTGCTTTCATTTGTTCAATGTCATTAGTCATTTTATCGATTTGATTTAAATATTTCTCACGCATTTTTTCTTCTTGTGCAATTTGATAATTAATTCGCTCGATTTCTTCTTGAATTGCATCGTCTTCGTGTGATTGCGATATTTTTGAAGCTAAATCGGACTTTGTAGAAGCATCATCACTATTATTTGTGAGATTTTCTTCTTCTTGTTCCATTGGTACTTCATCATCTGGATCTTCGAGTTCTTCTTTTTCAATAAAAGATCCAGCTGATTCTATATCTTCGGCAGAGTTATTTTGCATTTTTTATTATTAAATTTATAAATGATGTAAAGTTTCCCGAATTCAGAAATGTTAAATAATTGATAGTTGGATTTAAATCATGATTTCCTAAATTAAATTTCTAAAAACTCCAATTCTGAAAAAAAAAACAATTCGTTACATAAATATGAGAATATACTATTAGAATGTGAGACAAAACTCATATTTGATGTACTCGCTTCAATTCCGATTTTAATTGTTTTGAATGTTAATTTTATTTTTTATCCTCTCGAGACAAGAGAATTCGTTTTTTGAGGATGTTATCGGTGATGAGTTGAACTACACGATTATTATGAATAGTAGTTATTTCAGCCCAACCCATTTTTCAAATTTCATATCAATTCACGTTCCACGTCTAAAACATATCTTTGTACATCAGTTCCTTAAATCGCTTAAGGAAATAAAACCTAAAATACCGGTTTTAATTGTTCTAAATCATTCAAAACCTTCAATTAGAAATTATATCAACGGAGAACTGTTTGTAAAGTTCAGATTCTTTCAAAATCTTGATAGTATTGATCTTTGTCTACGTCAATTACTTTGTGAATTTGAATTCACATCGAAAAAAGAAGATATTCTTAATTCCTTCGAAAATAATGAATTTACTCTTGTTACAACATTAGGCAATGAATTAATTGCTAAAAATTTATTCATTTCAGCTTCTGATTTAATACGTCCAGTTAAAATTTTCATGACTACTCAATCAATCCTTGAAGAACTCACAGACAATACATTTCTCTTATATTCAAGGGATTATTCCAAATTTACCCATTTTAATGGCAGTTCTGATGTTTATTACAAAAATGTCAATAGCGATACCAAATTTTATACGGTAAACAGTGTTCTTAAGGCAGATAATTCACATATGTTCATTCTAAAGAACGATTTATACATCGAAGAGAAGATAAATATCTCAGAAATCATAAGTAGAGTAGAAAATATCCATTTTCTCAGTGAAAATATAATAGAAACACTCCTCGAGATCTTTAATATCGATGTTGAAGATGATTCCCTTTGTATTTTTAAAGTTAAGAATGAAAATGGAAAAATTGAGTATTTTATCAAAAATGTTTATGATTATCGAGAATTACTAGAAGACAGAGGATTTTGGAGACAAGTACATATGTCAGAAACTCACAGTGGCCTTGTTCAAGGCAAAATTCTGAATGTAAACTCATATAATTTCAAACGCTTCATAAATCAGACCTATTCCATCCCAGTTATTCTTTATTATGATCATACGACGCCAACATCAGTTCTGAACAGTTTTATTGAAGCTGCAAAAATTATGGAAGATTATCCAGACATAAAGATCAAATGCGGACTCTTTAATACAGAATTAAATGAGAATAAAATGAATATGCCTTATCCAAAGGATATTCCCACTCTAATTGCAACAACTCCGTTTCAAATTTTCTCAAAATTTTCTGGAGAATTTACTCCACAAGAAATCGTTTATTTTATGCAAGCAGCAGCCATTGTATATAATTCAATGGAAATTGAGGCAATTCCTGAAGATTATTCCTTTGATGTTCCGAAATCATATATTTCTGATTTCTTAAAAGGTATTTTTGTCAAATGTGATCCATTTGGAGCAGGTTCTTACTATGATTACAGGTATTTCATGGAAGATGGCGATTTTATGAGCGATAACAGTATTTATCGCGATGAAAGCACTTTCCAACTGTATGATGGTATTGACTCTAGTGAGGAAAACTCTATGTCAAGGCACCATCATGGTCATCCGTTCTTAAGAGCAAATTACGCAAATATTTACGATGTAATCGGATCTCTCAAGCATAGCGATGTCATGATGCATGATAAGAATCATAAGGAACAGCTTCAAGCGCTAATTGAAAAATATGGAAACTTTTAATTTTTTGTTTTGTATTTAATAAAGATATTAGTATTTTCTTTCAGAAATCATTCTTTAATTCTGCAGATTTTTGTGATAACTCTACTCATAACATCTAATTTAAGATTAAACGCAATTAAGTATATCACCATTCATTTATTATACGCAAGTTCTATGATTAAGTCTAAAATTTTCTTATTTCTATGATTAAAATGGTTTTGCAATGCACTTATCAACAAAATTAAGATGTGTTAAAAATTTTATATTACATTTCTAGAATTATATTAAATATTTTGAAGCATTTAAATATAATGATTAATATAAAATCGTTTTTATTATTTAGTTTCTTAATTCCTCTTTACAACTTTTATAAAAAATAAATTTAAATATGAATTTTTCCAAAAAAAATTTGAAAATTAAAAAATGTGACTCCAATTCTAAGAAATTGTTTTCATATTTAGAAAATCAAAAAAATTTTGGAATTCTTCCCATCATTCAATGACACGGAAATGAACTTGTGTGAACAGATGAGTACGAACTATCACTTAGATCCGCAATATTGAAAAAAATTTTATATATTTAGGGATATTTCAAATTGCTATCAAACAGCATTAGATAAAGACCAAACGCAGCAAATTTCCAATCCAAACCTACCTTGAAATTTAACGAAAAATCAAATTTTAACATCAATATAACATTATTCGATCAGTTTAATCAAAATCAACAACAAAATCTTTCAAAACATTTACTTGTACGTATTAATTAACATATATTTCTATTTAAAAACCAAAATTAAGAAAAAAATATCAATAAAAAATCGAAGAAGACCAATTAAAACTAAATATATTCTGTTTATATTCAATTATATTTTACAACTCATTGATCTTAGATCCGTATTGTTTGTCGATCTTGATCATTCCCTTGTGCTTTCTTGCGCAGTAAATAACAACACCAATAACAGCAACAACAGCAATACAAGCCAAGAGTGAGCAGATAACTATAACAGCCTTGTTTGATGATGGATTATAAGGCGATGTAAGTTTGTAAACGTAAGCACGGCTTTCATTTGATGGCTGATCACTCCATTCTGGATGAGAGTCATCGTGTTTGTACTTTGTCATACCTCCAACGACGATTGAGTTGCAATCGTGTCCCCAAGCGAGATCTGAAGCGAAGTTGAGGAGTTCTGGTGGGTTTTCTTCTGGGTAAAGTGTTTCTGTGCTGGAAAGTTCGAATTTACCACTGGAATCGCGGCGGAAGATAAGAATTGCGTCTGTCTTCTTATCTGGATTCCTTGTATCTGTAATGTTGGAAGCGTGTGTCATGAATATTGAATCTCCGCAGAATGCAAGGCCTGTTAACTGTACATCTGGTGGATATTCAATAACTTGGAATTTATCTGTATTCCATTTGTCGTTTGAGAACGAAATGATGAAGAATGCGCCATTTGGATTCAGATCCTTCTTGTAGGCAACCATTGTAGCAAGTGTTTTTTGATTTGGCATTCCAATCTTGCTGCCGTAGGATTTGATTGGCTTTGAGTTGTATTCTCCATTGCTAATTCCTTCTGGAAGGATCTGCTGTGTCAATGTCCAGTCATTGCTGCCTGAACGTGTGTAATAGCATGATCCCATTCCGAAATATGAATCGAAGAGGTCAACAGCGACGATTAAGTGAGAGTTATCGATGAATTGAAGGTCACTGCCGAATTTGAATCTCTTGTTTTCGTTGATTGATGGTGGATCAATGCGTGTTGGTGTTGTCCAGCCATCTACGGTTTCTGTTGTGATGAAAACAGCTCCATGGTCATCAATATACTTAACGACGTTAGGCTTATTGTAATAACCTGATGCAATGGTCTTACCGTCAGATGTGATTGTCAAAGAGCGGCCAAAGCCTTGGTAAGCATCACTTTCCGTTGGATTCTCAACAGGAGTGATGATCTTGGTCTGAGTGAAAAGCTGCTTCTGTTCATCGTAATCAAAAACAACGATAGCACCAACTTGCTCGAATCCTTTAACGGTAGAATATGGAGCACCGGCGACAATTCTCTTGCCATCTCTGGAAACTTGGCATGTAGAGCCTGTATTATTCAAAATAATGGATTTATCTTCTGGACCATATGGGATAAGCTTCTGAACTTCCTTATATTTGTTTGTATTTTGATCTAATTGGAAGATATAAAGTGCTCCGAGACGAGAATCAGAACCTGTTGTCTCCCATGAGGCACCAACAACAATCTTGTCTTCTGAAACGCCAACGGAACGGCCAAAGATGCCATAGTTATCGAGGCTTGGCTTGATAATTTGCTCTAATTCCCATTTGCACGAGGCGAAGTGGATGAGTGACCAAAGCATAGTATTTATTGTTTATATTCAACCGCAATTTCGCTTTCAATTCTGTTAGCTGTCAAATTCTAAAATTGATTTTGAGAGAGACGTTCCATACAATTTTGATAATGCGAAAACGATGAACTTTTATTCTGTCAGACTTTATAGCACATTATTGTTAATAATTAATTTTTTGTATTTTCATTTCTGAACATTATCATTTACAACAAAAGTGACAAAGCATCCGATATTTCATTTCTGAAATGCCTTTTTTGACCACATAAATTCATGACACAGATTGAACCATCAAAATCTTCTACCAAAAATGGCACACATTTAGAGAACAGTATGCACTCCGACTAATTTTTGTCAACCTTTATCTAAACTTTTACTTCCGATTATTGAAATAGCAACCAAGACTTATCATTACACAGTAAATAACACAAACTCATGCTCCTTGGGAGAGAAATTCTAAAAATCAAGATTTCTAATTAATTTGTATGCGAAAGCACATTGAATCACACCATGTAAGTTACCTATAATTTGTATTAGTTATTATGACTTTGTACGTGTTAAATTTTATATTAAATTCATTCTTTACTTGAGAAACTGAGATTATTTCCTGTATTTTGCAATTTATTGAGTCGAATATCGCTCATGAGAATTTTTTTCTAGTAATGAAAACCAATGACAAGGATATGATTTTCTATATGAGCATTGTCAAGATTATTGTGGCACTCAAACAAAGGGTATATCTGGAAGCAAATACAACTCAAAAGTCAATTATATCATTAAAATTAAAACATGTAATTCTTGTCATGGGATCTTAATTTCATATTTGAAATGTCTAAAATAATTTAATGATTTCTTCTAACCACAAATGGGCTCTTTGAGCTTATTAATGGCTTATAGCTGCTATACAAAAGTTAAGAAATCCAAAATTATCGGATATATGATTGGAAGATAGAAATATCCGCCTTTTTCGATCAATTACATGTATTCTAATATAAATATGAGCTTTTCTGGCTTAGAAGATGACTACACAACATTATTCTCATCATTGGAATATAACTCTTTGATGGACAATAGCAAGAATGAGAAAACAAAATATATAGTTTAATAAACAATATCCAATTATAATTACCACAGCATATACACATGCATGTTATCTGATAGAACTTAAAATAGAAAGGTAAACTGAAAAATATTAAAAATTATAAACTCAAGCTAAATGTAACTGATAAGAGAGGAGGCTATATCTGTAAGAGAAATTGGAACTAACATGCCTGTGAAAATCATTTGCGATAATATTTTATATGAAAAAGACTTTAAAAATCGAATTTTCTTAATTATCCATTCGTATTTGATTTGTGTGGTAGTAACTTCAGATGGGCGCTAATCAGCAGTTCACGAAATCATGATATTTTTTAAAAATATTAAATATAAACGAAAACCTGTTCGAGCTGATGATATTATGTATCATTTTACTACCTATAGGTCTATTTTATGAGCTCAGGAGGTATCAGGCCGAAAAATTTTTATGGCATCTAGGAAGCATTGAAAATTTGAAAGAGATATCACAAAAAATTGAATATGTCAAATTAGCCGACATCCCAGAATTATTTGAGAGGTTTTATGGAAATTTACCCGTGGTCATTTTTACTGATTCATGTTTGCTTTCAGAGGCTCCAAGAACTTAGTTCACAACAGATTTACCGAGGAAGATGATCAAAAGCTCAAACAGCTCGTTAACGAGTACGGCGAAAACAATTGGGATATTATTGCCAAAAAGATGAAGGGAAGGAACAAAAGGCAATGTCGCGATAGATGGAACAGATACTTAGCACCAAATGTGAACCATAGTGAATGGACAGTTGAAGAAGAAAAGCTTCTTATGAGTTTAGTACCAATATTATCCCCGAGATGGCGTGAGATTGCAAAGCATTTTAGCGGTAGAAACGATATACAGATTAAGAATAGATATAAAATGATTCAAAACAGATTATTGCATGAAAATCAAAAAGAGAATGTTAAACAGCAAATTAAAACACCAGTAACACAGCCGAATACACTTGTCTATGGACAGCCAATCCAATTACAAGAAGCTCATATAAGCTTAGATGATGAATTTAATTCTGATTTTGCATTCAACGAAGAAGCAGATGATTTTAGTATATTTTGCTCTTTTGAGTGAATTGTTTGTATATGAATAAATTACCATTTGTTATTAATCTAATAATCATTAATTTTTTTTCAAATTTTGTTTGATTCCAAATAAACCTGAAAGAAATTTGTTGTTTTTAGATAAAAGTAGTAAATACAAATCAATAAAATAGGAAAATGTTATTCAAATACTATAAAAAAAAACTTTTTATTAAAAATCTATTTTTTTTAGATCCAACACTTAACTTGTTGTTCACCCTTCATGATGCATTGTCCGCATGAGATGCATTTCATCTTCTTGCCCTCACGGATATGCTGAACTACATGTGTATCTGCAATTGTTGGACGTCCTAAAGAAATAAGGTCAGCACCTTCTTCAAGTGCTTTGATCATTGTTTCTGTCTTTCTGATACCGCCAACAACACCAATTGCAGCCTTTGTAGTCTTTCTGACGATTGTAATAATTGGAACGTTGTAACCTTCCTTAAGTGGGAAGTCCTTACGGCGCATTATTCTGTTTGTAGATCTGATTGTTGTGGAAGCTTCCTGGAAGCCGCAGGAGACTTCCCATAAGTCCATATCTGGAATTGCAGCCATTGTAGCAGCCAAATCGTTTGGCATGATTCCTGGATTACCAGCCTTGCAGTCATCACCATTAATCTTGATGCCAATGACGAAATCTTTGCCACATTCCTTTCTGATTGCATCAACAATCTCAACAAGGATTCTTCTTCTGTTTTCTGGGCTGCCACCGTATTGATCTTCTCTGTGGTTTGTCATTGGTGACAAGAAGCTGGAAATAAGATATCCATGTGCGCCGTGGAGTTCAATTCCATCAACGCCAACTTGTTGGAGACGCTTGGCGCATTGCCTGTACTTATCGATAACTTCAGATATTTCCATAAGTGTCATTGCTCTTGAGCCTGGCTGAAGTGGAGATGGACCTCTTGGTCTTTCACCAGTGAATCTGAATTCTGTAGTTAAACCGGCATCGGCAATCTGGAATAATGTCTTTGTTCCACGCTTATGCATGTAGTCAACTGTTGATTTCCATGCTTCAGCTTGTTTATCATTTTCCATTCCGCCTTGACCTTCGCAGGCACGACCACTCCTTTGAACATAGAGGTATTCTGGGATAATAAGACCCATTTGTCCATCGGCCATGTCTTTATAGTACTTTAATAACCATGGCTTTGGTAATCCATCAACATCACAGCCGTTCATGAAACATGGAGAACGCATAAATCTGTTTTTGATTGTTATGCTACCAACTTTGACTGGAGAGAACAGTTTGTCCATTAAAACTTTTCTTTCAATTTTTTGTGATAGTTAAACGGTTATCCGGACAATCGTAAACTATTCAATTTTACATGTAAAGTAATCAAAAAATACAATGTGAAACAATGAAAGATTCAAATAAGGGTTTCGTTTTGCTAAAATTGTCACTTTTATAGCATATTTGTTTTTGGATGTTTTGCGAAACCAAAAAAAAACTATGATATACAATGTGTGTGTAAAGAAAATACTTTATTTACTAGTTAAAAAATCATTTGGTATTGATCAAGTTATTTTTTCTGGATAAGATATTATATGGATAATTGGATAGAAAATACAATTATATAATCTTGTACCTGGTTTAATTAAGCTAATTGTCATCAGAAACTTGTAATTTTTATGAATTTCAGATTTTCTTTTCATTACTGCTTTTCTTAATAGGTCAAGTTCTTATTTACGTTATAAAGTATGATATTTACAAATATCAAGTTATCATGTTTTTTGAGAAATTATGAGAAAAACAACAAAAATGAAAAAGTAGGAATAGCAATGAATAGTGATGTGGGTATAGAAAATGTAAGAGATATGAATGCAAAGCAATCAGTATTTAGGATATTGACCATAGATTTCGAAAAAAAAATGCTGCATATTGAGCGAAAACTATGATTATATTATAAGGCTGTCATTTAAGCATAATGAAACTATTCCCTTTTCATTTTAATCGAATAAGATAGTAAGATTTTTGAATTAGCTAGAAACTGATGAGATGTTTTCACAAATCAGATTTTTAATCTCTATAATGCATAATTCACTCAATATCTCAATTTTGATATTGCGAGATATTTTTGCTATCGGTTTCGCAATTTTGACACAATAGCAAGAGGGTTCTATAAGCATTATTATCAACGTAGAATCTGAATATCATATCAGAAAATGTCGCAAATCTGACATTTACCCGACCAAATAGCAAAAATAATTGAATACTTTTCGCAAAAACTTTAAAAATCGATAAAAATATGAAATATAGATATTAAAGAGACTTTTTATATAATATTCATAAAGATTTTCCAAAAATATGATACCGCAAAATTAAAAAAGTGACGTCTTGAGTGGAGTCAAGGGTCGAAATTGCTAGCTAAATGTTTTTTAGCGAAATTGCGTATTGTACGTTTTTTTCGCAAAACGAAACCCTTAATTCAAAGGATATCTAGCAATCAATGCTTTAAAATATTTTTTTTAAATTTTTTTTTGATTGGCATTTTGATCACAATTTTTTGGAACAAATCGTCCAAAGTTAACATATTTGATGAAAAGGCATCCTCATTCCATTATTAAGCATATAAATACGGCGATAGCATTAGCCTTTTTTCAACAATTGATCGACGGTTGTACACATCTTTGAATTATCCAACTCTTTTTCTCAATTTTGTTTCCGAAAAACCATTTTCATAGTTATTGATTTAGAAAAAAATTAAATGATTTCAGATAATTCTTGTATATGAAAGCCGATCTTGAACTCACAGCGATAAATAATTTTATTCGAGTTCTCATTTTATGATATTAATACCAAACCCAAGAATTATTCATACACCATGCTTGTTCTCCGTTCAACATATGTAATTCTGGTTAATTAAATCAATTTTAAAAATTATTAAAAAAGATCAAGAAAATATAAATGAATTATTATTGTATAAATATTTGAATAAGATTAAGAAATTCATCTTTAATTCGAAAATATAAATCAAAAAAGTTTTTTATGTAAATGTAAATCGATATGGCGTTCCATTAAAACTAGAAAGGAATGGAGTTTGATTTTCATTGTTTTTTCATTGACATTTGCACCATGTAAAATAAGACGTTTGACTATTTTCAGATGAACATCTGCACCTTTTTACATTAAAAATTCTACTATTTGTGTTATTACTGAGAGCTGCCCAATGAAGAGCGGCTTTTCCTTAATTATCCTTTGCATTAACATCTGCACCCTTTGATATTAAAAATTCCGCTACTCCTTTTATATTAGGAATATTGCCCAATGAAGAGTTGTATTCCCATCATTATCTTTTGAATTTATTTCTATACCGTGAGATATAAAGAAATCAACTGTATTATATTATTGAATGAGCTTAATAACCATTCAATACTAGTATCACTATTAATGTCTTTTGAATGTTTATGTATTTTTTGCTCTCTGATAGCATTTTCTAATTTATCAATAACATGAATTCCAACTTCATTATGAAGAGCATTTCTTCCAGCATTATCTTTTGCATAAATTTACGCGCCAATTGATATTAAAAATCTGCTAATTCTTTTCTACCATAAATGGCTGCTACATGAATAGCTGTTTTCCCATTTTCATCTTAGGCATTAATATAATTGCTCCATGTGAAATGAAAATTTCTGTAATTTCTTTATTATTATTCATGATTGCATTGTATGGAGCTGATATATTTATCTTTTCTCCATGTGATATAAATAGTTTTATTTAATTGATAAGACTATATTTGATTGCGAACAGGAAAGATGAATATACTTTTTTATCATGTTTATAAATATTCAGCAATATCTAAACGCCGATGTTGTATTGCCAGAATAAGTGCATTTTTTCCCATATTATTTACTGCATCGATATTTGCATGATGAGCCTTGATTCATTTTATTTTATTCGACCGCCATTGTGAGAGCTGTCTCATGATATCTATTCTGAATATTGATATCAAGATCATGTAAAAAAAAGATATTCCCAAAGTGAAGGGATTTTGTAATTTGATAAATAATGAAGCCATTCAAAGACATTCTTTATTTGATCTAAATAAACTAATGATGCTTCAATGTTATTGAATTTACTGCATTGCTTTATATCGATATTAATTTTGTATTCATTCATGAAAAATCCAACAAAATCAATGTTGTGAGAATAAAGGCAAAATTCATACATTCTTTATCTGGTCATTGACATTTCAAGCATTCACTCATAACGACTGGATTTCCGTCTAAAAATGAAAATCGTAGGCATTCTGGGGTGATTTCACAATCATATTCTGCTCCTAAAAACTTAAAACATTTAACAGAGCCATGATGGCAACATAATTTAAGTAATGAGTAGCTTCTGAAATTATTGGAAAAATAAAAATCAGATTTCAGTTTTTGATGGAGGCTGAATCCTGGTGTTTCTGTGAGTGATATAAATAATTCTTTATCATCATTCGAAATTGCTATGTAAATTGTGTTTTCTTGGAGAAAATTCGAATAAGATGAATTTTGAAGATGCACATCAAGAACATTCCTTTGGGGAAAATAAGAGGAAATGAAGAAATAGATTTGATTTATTGTTCAGTGCATTTTAAATATATAAGGGAATTTACTATACTCTATTATATAAAGATAAATATGAAGTGAAGTCAACACCCGTAATATCTTCAACGATCATTTACAGGCGTAAGTTCAGATATATTTTTTTATTGAGAAATAAACATTCAATACAGAAAGGATTATTGATCTTTTATTTGCAGGAAAAACAAAAAACAATTCTCCAGATATTTGAATGCAAACTCTGATAAATAATCGGCACTGCACTGCAGAAGAAATCAATTCATACAAGCAAAACATATGCCAGATAGAGGACTTGCACGTCAAATGGGAACCAATTTTAACGTGTTTTCCCTCATTTGCATTCGAACAATACTTTGATCGCTTTTCCGGTGGTCTTGATGGCAGATTAATTGCACATTATAACAAACCTATTGGCTCTGCATCAAAGTATATAAGGCTTTACGACCACGAATTTAATAAAATTGACGAAATATACTTAGCACTCGATGTAAAAGACGCATTCATTTACACGACTTCAAACGATTATGTTGTTGCTCTCGTTTGCAAGCACTCAGGATTACTCTGTTCCATTTATTACCACGGAAGATTATTCTCATCAATCCCTATTCAATGCAATGATGATGTTAGCAATTGCTACTTTTTGGACTCTGGAATGGTATTTATTACGCGCCAAAATGACGTTTGGTTCCTTCCTCATTTCAAAGATCCATACGTATATGCGCACATCAACGCCGAAGAATCACTATCTAGGATTGTTGCAATTCCACCTCAGGATTCCGCAACAGGAGAATTGATTTTTTACGCGATGGGCTATTCCGAGAAAATTTACGTTGGAACTAGCGAATCTATCAAAGTTCTTGACTTACCAGAAGAAGTGCAATATTTTGCTTTAAGTCCTACGAACGAATTCATTGCCTTTTTACTTAATAATAATTATATTCTCATAACTCCATCAGATTTCTCTGAATGCTATTGCTATTACGATACCGGTGTTGAGCAACCGGCAGCTTCCTTCCAATGGCTCTCTACAATGATCCTTATTGGCTATGAAAATGAAGTTTACTTATTTACATCCCAACAAACGATCAACTCATGGGGATTTGAAGGCAAACCCTTGATATTTTCAGATTCCAAGCACGCTCTTGTATTTACGAACACAAAACTCTACGAATTATCCGTAATTGGAAATGAGTTGGTCGAAGCACTTGATCTTACCTCCAGATCACCAGGATCTGTACTCCTCAACTCCGTTATCTCCGAAAACTTACACCTTGTCGATTCCCTTAACGACAGATCAAAATTAAAAGAAGGAATTGAGTCATTAATCACAGCCGCCGCGGAAATTACTACGAGCGAACGCATGCAGAGGACATTTCTCATGGCTGCGACCATTGGAAATGGCTTCAACGACACTTCCAGCAAAGAAATTACGAATTTGGCCAAAGAATTACGACTTTCAAACGATCTCCGGAAGAATTTAAAGATCTACATGACACCTACATCCATCGAGAAGCTGAAATACAGTCCTACAATACCAATGAAGTACTGTGATTCAGGAAATCACGCAACAGCCTTCGAAGTAGCCGAATTCCTTGGAGTTGAGAAATCTCCAATTGTCACTGATTGGGCCTGCACCATCATAGAGCTGTTTAAAGAAGACGAAGACGCATTTTCCATCATAAAATCCAGAATTTGTCCTGAATTCGATGCAACATCCATATCAATTGCTGCTTCCAACATCGGCAGACACGAGCTCGCCGCAAAAATAGCTTCACTAGAGCCGTATCCATTGAAATTGATCGATTTCTTTGTTTCAATTGGAAATTGGGACGGAGCAATTACGGCGGCATGCAGATCTATTGATTCTAAGAAGTTCATCTCCACTTGTATGCTTGCAATGGAGAAGGGCGCAACAGAAGAATTAAGGAATGTCCTCAGAAGAGACAGATTTGTTTATCATTCTTTTTGTTCTTTGACTGAAAATAACGTAGTAGCACAGCAACTGCTTAGTTCAATTACGGGAACTGAGAGTTATGTGGACAATTCGATCAGAAAGATACAAAAAGACCTGATTTCGAATTATTCTAAGATAGAACCCATCATGTCTGCATCGGAAGCACTTAACAGGCTTTCAACAGCCGTACAGAAGTATAATATACCAGTTTTCCAGCAAAAAATGGTTGATAAATTCACTGATAATATTCGCGCCCAAGAAAAGTTCGTAGAAATGGAAAACATCGGACTTCCTTTCAACAAAGCCATCGAATTGTTCGTTAAAAAGGAAGATTTAGACGGTGCATTGAAATTTGCTGACAGAGCAAAGGTCGGAGAAGAGAGAGCCCAAGTAGTAATCGCAAGAACAGTTATACTAGGTGGCTACAAGGACCTTTACAAGAGAGTTGCCCACAATCTCAAATATGCATGGAGAATTTCAGCGGCAATGATATTAATAAGGGATGGAAAAGAAAGTGCTGAGAAATTTATTAGTGAAATACCAGAAGAAAAGGACAGACAGTCTATTTTAGAAGCTTATCAAGCGGGCTTGCTTTCAATTAATGAATTGGATACAAAATCTATATCTGATTGCATTATGTTGAAGAAGAAATTATTCTCTAATTAAAATAAAGTATATATTTAGTGTTTTTTTAAAAAATTTTGATTTGATTTTATTTCGAGAATGTTTTTAGTGTTATCTTCACAGCAAGCTCAACCATACCAATTACATTTACCTATTCAGAGAACAAATTAGTTAAACGAAAATACCATATGAATATTGAATGAATTAATGGATAAGCTGAAGTATCTTCTCCTCAACTTAATTCCATTTCCCATTCAGGGAAAGATTTTTTTTTAAATTTTGCGTTTAATTACCAAAGTTCAGCATTCAAGTTATTAATAAGGAAGATTATCTCATTCTGGGAGACATGAAGTGAAAATGCCTCCCATGATGTCATTTTCCGACAGAAAACAAAAGCATTATTGATAAATTGGAAGAATATATGAAAATATTGGGATTTAAAATGAGAAAAATGGAGAAAGTAATTAATATACGTAGTAATATTTATCGTTTACATAACATCAGAGTACTTTGCATCGACATTCGTCTGATAATTTTAATTTGTTTTCTGAACAATGTCAAAGAACTGTGGATCGTCATCGTCGGAGTACTCTTTGTCGCCGTTGTAATGATGAACGACATTTCCATCGAGTGTCTTAGAGTTTGATAGTGCTTCAGCGAAGAATTTGAAATCATTTGCAGCTTTATGATCAAATTCTGTTCTTTCAACATCCTGACCACGGAACTTATCAAACTCGTTTGCATCATTATAAGCCCAGAGCTCTTCTGCGGACATAACAACCTTCTTTTCTTCTGTCATTGATGAAGCGAAATGTCACTTTTATAACCAAACTCATTTGTTGAAAAACTGGAGAGGGCCAATTTTATCATAAATACATTTTTCTGTTAATACATCAGAAGTTTAACATAAAAATTATTGAAGTCCAATTCCTTATTTTTTAAGTATTCTTGGTGTAATGTGCCACTTTTTTGTACATTTTGGCACTTTTTTTCTGAAAATTCCCGATTTGACACGCCCCTAATTGCAAAAATCCGGACTCTCCATATTTTCGTACAAATTGAGAATATTCTCAAATTGATAAGTTATGCATTTGGAGCCTTATTCCATAAAGACTTCAAATTCTTCCCGATTATTTCTGTGAATTGATTATTCCAATTTTTTTTCCACTCAAAATTCCAACGTTGCAAAATTTTTGTAGTTTTTAAACACTTTTAAGGTGCTAAATCTTGATTGCTTGTTTCAGGAATTTTCAGGAATTTTTAAATCCATTGAATTTTTTTTCCAAAAAATTTTTCAAATCATTTTTTTTCCCTAGTTGCACAAAATGTACAATGAGCTTTCGAAGCGATATAGTAGTTACATAGATGCATTTGATGCATTGTACAAGCTAAATACATCCAATGAAGACGAAATAAACAAAATTTATCAAAAAATAAAAACACAATTAATTGAAGGGGAAAACCTTTCGCCATCACTGATTTGTAATAAAATCGAAAATGCTGCACGCTTGAATAATCGCTACATCAAATCATATTTGAAATTGAATCAAAAAGTTTCTGAAGAGTATCATCTCGATAATAGATTTTTAAGACAATTCACTTTAGAATACACTCGTATACTACGAATTCAAGATATTACAGTTATCAGATTATTAATCAATGATGACTTGAAATCATTTATTCCGTATTCATTAAATAAAGACTGTATACTATGTCAAAATGTGTTCTGTTTTATGTTTCCTTTCTTAATGATGAACGTACTTGAACTATGTTGTTATTACGGAGCTGTCAATTGTTTTAAATTTTTAAGATCAGAATTTAATTTTGGAATAACTCGATTATGTCTTCAATATTCATTTTTGGGTGGAAATCAAGAAATTATAAATGAATGCTTGAAATATCAAATACCAGATGATGAATCCATGAAATATGCAATAGCTTCACACAACTTAGATTTTGTAACATTTTTAATGTATGAACATAATTTAAAAATCGATTTGGAAGAATGTGCAAACTCTAATAATCTCAATGCATTTTTTGTTTATTTTGATCAAACTAATGATGTTAATGAATGCTTCGTTCATTCACCTCTTTTTGGAATTCCATCTCTTTGTGAATTTTTCAGAATGCAAGTATCCGATATCGATGCAAAAAGTATATCCTTAGGATATTCTGCCCTTCATTTGACAGCTAATTACAATTGCATAGAGGAATCAAAACTATTGATTTCATTTGGTATTAACATCAATGCAAAAAATAATGATGGGGAAACTCCTCTAATTGTTGCATCAAAATCTAATCATGAAAAAATGGTTGATCTCCTAGTATTATATGGCGCTGATATCAATGAAAAAGATAATACTGGAAAGACAGCACTTCATTATGCTGCAAGGAATAATAATGATGAATCTATAGATATACTTCTTTTACACGATGCCGATCTAAATGCAGTAGATAATAGTGGGAAAAAACCAGCTTTACGGTGGCACAAGAAATTAGTTCATGGTTTCCATGAAATATCAAAATATTTTGACAAAAAACTCAGACATTAGAAGAATATCGAAACTTCTTTTCATTCGTAAAGTCTTTTATTCAAACTTTGATAAGGGTTTGCTCAATATTGAGGCAGAAACTATAGGGAGACTTTTCGTTAGAAAGTGGGTTGAAATCTATACAATATTTAAAATTATTGATTAAAAAAAAAAAAAAAAAAAAAAAAAAGGGAGTGGGGCTTCCAGGCACTTCGTGCCTTCTAGCCCTGAAGATGTTTAGTATAAATGAAGTCTTAGAGGACAAACATGACTATGAGTTTTGATATGACAAGATAGAATATGAGAGAGGTCCTATAAACCGGAGAAAGTGTTATATAAACATCTGTCATATTACTCAGAATATTATACAGAATTCAATAAAAATATATTTTAGGTGAAGAGGTGAGATTTCACCTGTTTTTTCACCTCATTTTTCACCTCTTGAATTTTCATGAATTTCATCGTAAAGACTTTGTCAAGATTTCATCGTAAAGACTTTGTCAAGATTTCATCGTAAAGACTTTGTCAAAACTTCATCGTAAAGACTTTGTCAAAACTTCATCGTAAAGACTTTGTCAAAACTTCTTCTTCGTAAATGTTTTGTCAAGACTTCTTCGTAAAATCAGACAAAAATATATTTTAGGTGAAGAGGTGAGATTTCACCTGTTTTCTACCCTCTTTTCTACCCCATATGTACTTACTGAAAAAGTATGTGTTCCATCTGTCATTTTACTCAGAATTTTACACCAAAAATAATGTTTAGGTGAAGAGGTGAGATTTCACCTGTTTTTTCACCTCTTTTCTCACCTCTTGAATTTTCATGAAATTTACACCAAAAATAATGTTTAGGTGAAGAGGTGAGATTTCACCTGTTTTTTCACCTAATTTTTCACCCTCTTGAATTTTCATGAAATTTACACCAAAAATATACTACTAGGGTCATTTACGAAGAAATCTCAACAAAGTCTTTACGATGAAATCTTGACAAAACATAGACAAGAAAGTTCATGAGAAATTAGATGAAGAAGTTTTGACAAAACATTTACGATGAAATCATGAAAATTCATGAGGTGAAAAAAGAGGTGAAAAAAGAGGTGAAATCTCACCTCTTCACCTAAAATATATTTTTGGGTCATTTACACTCATTTACGAAGAAATCTCAACAAAGTCTTTACGAAGAAGTCACAATAAACATCTGTCGAAAACCTTAACCGAGTAGTTTTCATGTTTTGTCACTTTTCTGTCACTTTTCAGGAAAAAAACATTTTTATTGTATATAAAATGAATTTTACAAAACCACCGTTACCCTTCTTTGGAAATAAGAGTAGATGTAAAGATATTCTATTGAGAGAACTTAAGAAACTACCGAATGGTCTAACATTTGTAGATTTGTTCGGTGGAAGTTTCTATATATCTCATTTGTGCCATACAATATTTCCTGACTCAAAGATTATATGCAATGACTTCGACAACTATATGGACCGTCTCAAACATATTCCAGACACTAACAAAATATTGAAAGAGTTAAAAGAAAAGATACCTATAGGTAAGATGGAACGTATACCATTAGATAAGAAAAATACTGTGAGAGAGGTTTTGAAAAAAGCAGAATATATAGACTGGGATAGTATATCTGCTAGACTATTATATAGTGGTGCTATAAGAGTTCATGACATTGAAACACTTATGTCAAAAGTTTTATATCTTAACTATACAAATGTTTTCAAAGAGGACATAGAAAAATATATTGAGGGTATAGAGTTTGTGAGATGTCATTGGACAGATTTGTATGAAAAATATAAAGACAAGGAAAATGTTTTCTTTATAGTAGACCCGCCGTTCTTTAACACATACGATTTTCAATACCAAGTAGACTGGACTTTGAGAGACTCTTTAGAAACTTTAGACGTTTTACATAACCATCCATGCTTTTACTTTACATCCGATAAAAGTGGTTTGGAAAGTGTCATGAGATGGTTAGAGGATATGCATGACTATGAGTTTAGATACGATAAGATAGAATATGAGAGAGGTCCTATAAACTGGAGAAAGTGTCACAACAAAGAAATTTTATTGGTAAGTAAATGTGGTTTGAAATAGGACTACTTGTTTTAGGTTTTTTCCATTGTGTCATTTACTTATTTGACGTGGCAGAAAGATATAGAGAATATGAAGATGAACCAATGCCTGCAAATGTTCAGTATATGTACTCGTAAGAGATATTTTTATCTAATATTAAATGGACGCACAGAACTTAGCGAATGCACAGCAACCTGGACAACCAAACCCAGAGAATATTCCAAATGAAGTTAGAATACAAACTGCAATGGCAAACTATGGTCAAGTGCCAACAGATGTACAATGCAAACTGCCATGTCAAATGACGCTGCGTTAGGTTTGCCACCATGGTATGCAAATATGAGATGGAAAGAGTTTTATACAAACCCTGAAGTGGGATATAAACAACTTTATGCAGATGACGCGAACACAGGAGTTGACCCAGAATATGTTTTCTACCAGAGGAGAAACAGAATGTATGAGCTCCAGTTAAAGAATGCTATGGAACTCAAGGAAACGTAAGAGACTAGGCGGACATTAGATTTTTACATATAGTAAAATGGGTTTCTTCAGTAGTATTGGAAACTTCTTTCGAAATGTTGGAAGAGGTATATGGAATGGAATAAAAACCGTAGGAAGAGGAATTTGGAACGGAGTCAAAAATATTGGTAAAAGAGTAGGTCAGTTCGTTGGTATTATACCTAAAGACCCTGAACCAGAAGAACAAGCTCCTGTTATACAACAGCCTGAACCTGCACCACAGTCTAGTTGGCAACCAAATCCAACACCTCAACCGTATTAAAAATTATATTTTTACCGTTCGATAGTAGTTGTATATGAAACTAAGTTCTAAGTAAAACGCGTGGTATAATGGAATTATTCTCTTTCTTCCATCTGTAGTAAACCATACTTGAAAGTCTGAAATACTTCCACTTGGTGGTTCGTATAACTTTGTAGGTTTTTCGTAAAAGTCATTTGCCAAGCATAAGAAAGAGTTTTGGGCGCCAGAAAATGAAGCATGAACAATAATAGCAGCTGGGTCGAAAACATCTTTAAATAAATATGGTTCATCTCTTGCATATCGACTGTAAATATTTGCTAAAGGAAGTTCGACTTTCTGATTTAACATTCTTTGCAAATAATACCATGACATTGCAGTGAATTCTGTATATATTTGTTCGTCTTTCTTTGGATTGTCTTCGTAGATTTGAAATGACACTTGTGAATTTTGTTTGTCATATACAATTCTCACATAAAGTGTGCTCTCGGTATTTGCATATTCATCAGCATATTTTGCATAACATGAATTTATTTTATCTTCTATATTTTTTAACGCAGTCTGTAGAGAAGATGAAAGGTCAACTTGTATTAGCTCAATTTCTTCCCACATTTTTCGTTTCCCTTCAGATATATAATCTATATGAAACCTTACAATAAATGGGAAACTTTTATCTTCTACAGACACAAATTTTATTCTACGAAAGCCAATAGCTTTTGTGACAGATGGGTCTCTTAGCCATCTTAATGGGTAGTCAAAACGATAGCCTTCATGCTTTACGGTCTCTGTCTCAAACTTTTGACCGACATTAGTAAAAAGTTCATCTAATGGTTTAGTTGTAGCAACTCTTGAATTTTCTTTTTCTATTGGAAGCATATTTTATCTAGAATAAAAATGTCGAAAGAAACAGCGTCTATGAGAGAAATACAACACAACCGACAACTCATTTTGCAAGCTCTAAATAAGAACACAACAAACTTTTCAAACTATTCTAAGATATCTGAGTCATTGAAAGAAGGAAACTTAAAACTGACAATAAACCCAATGACAGATGAGTTTCTATTTCAAGACAATAGGAACCATACTGTCTGTATAAATCCAACAAAAAGAACTTTAAACGAGAAACCTATAGATGAACTTCTTTTGAAGGCAGATATTGACAACAAAGCTGACAAAGAGTATGTAGATGCAACAAGAGACTATATTCTCGCATGGACAGATAGAACATACCCACAAAAACACCATACACATAACATCTATGACGTAGATGAACTACCAGCAATGTTAGATGACAAAGCAGATAAAACATATGTTGACAATAAAATGTCAAGTGAAGTGACAAGAGCTGACAAAGAATATTCTAAAAAGACTCATACACATACCATTGCAAATATTACAAACTTACAAGAAACCTTAAACAAGAAAAGTGACGTTGGACATACACACGATTTCTTCGCAACTGTTGGTATAGAAAATATTGAAGGAACGGTTGAAGAAACTGGTGGAACTGGTGGGGATGTATTAAATTGGAAACCTCCTAACTTTCCACAAGGTTTAACATCGGAGGATGACATAACGACGATGAAATACATTAGATGTAGAAATGTCTATGTCATGGAGGATGAAAACAAAGTTAAATTCACTGCTCAAGATTTATATGATAAAAAAGCTGACAAAACATATGTTAACGATGAGTTAGATAAAAAAGCTGACAAAACAGAGCTTCAAACGTTAAAGACAGAAATACTTCAAACACTATATCCTATAGGTTCTATTTACACGTCAATGAACTCTACCAGACCAGAAGTAGTACTTGGTCTCGGAACTTGGACTCAAATAGTCGACAGGTTTTTGTATTGTGCAAACTCTTCAAAGGAAACAGGTGGAAGTAAAACAATTTCAGGTGAAAACTTACCTGCGCACAGTCACTACATAGATTTAAGTACATCTCAAGCAGGTTGGCATAAGCATAAATTTTGGGATTGGCACGCCTTGAAAAAAGGTAAAGGATATGATGTTAAAGACGACGTTCAGTTTGCTATAAATTGTTACTGGAGTGACACTCAGGGAGATGGAAACCATACACATCGCGTTTCAGGATATACACAAACAACGGGACAAAGTAAAGACTACATGCCACCTTACATGACAGTTTACGCATGGTATAGAAATGCTTAGTCGTCATTTTCAACTTCTTTAGCATATTCGTCAGGAGTTGTCTTATATTTGTTAGGAACTGTCTTTGAAAGTATACCACCTTGAACCTTAACAAGTTTGAAACGAGGTCTGACAATAGTAGTTTTATCTTCTGCTTGCAGTCTGTACATTTTGCCATGTTTGCCTAAAACTTCATAATATTCTCTTGTATACTTTCTTCTATTTTTACGAACACGAAGGTGAGTACCTGTCGGGTACTTGTTGTTGTCATAGTCAATAGTATTTTCATATGGGTCGCGTTTAGGTATTTCTATTTTTACTTTGTCACCTTTCTTAAGTTTGAAGCCTGGCATTCTTTCTTGTTTGTCTCTTTTGACTAAACTATTAAATATATAGTCTTTCTCTAAGTCAGGGTTGTTTTTCATTTCTTCGGGGGAGTGGTTTCCCAAACCTTTTTGTTTACGGCTATTGTAAATATTTAAAACTTGTCTCATCTTTGCCATGGAGAAATGTCTATACTTGTCGTCATATGACATTTCATCTACCTCACCACCTTGTGGTTGGTTTAAGTCTCTTAAGATTTTTATACAACTGTCAATGACACCAAGAGCAGAATGGTTTTGGTCGACAATGAAATATTGGTTTACATTTTTTGAACGCAGATAGTTTTTAATATCGTCTGATTTGAAAGAACTTTCACAGTCAGATGTCAGTTTTGTTGGATGGTATTTGTCAACGAATATTGTCAAAGCTGCTAAGACATCTAAAATATTTTTAGACTGTAATGGTATGGCTTCACAGTATCTTGTGTTTTGACCGACAAATATTAGCCAGTATGGTGGTCCGTCTTCTCTATACCTCGGAATGTTTTCCAAGATATCCATAAACCAAGCATTTGGTGTTGAACTAAAGATTTTTACCATGAGTGCTTTCTTTGTTGCTTTAGAAACATAGGGGTCCTTGTTTGGATTCGTCATTTTTACCCTATAAGAAATGGGTTTATTTGGCGCATTAGCAGGAGTTGCATCCAGATTTTTGCCCGCAGTGGGAACAATAGCCAGAGGTGTATTTGGAGTTGGAAGGAAGATTTTGAGTACATTAGGTATACTGAAAGAGAAAGCACAACCTATTATACAAACTGTACAGAAAGGTTGGGAGGTAGCACGAGATGCAGCAAATCTTATTCCAAATCCTGAAACAAGAGGAAAAGTTCAAGGATGGATGGACAATGTAGGAAGACAAGCAGGAAACTACTATACAAAGCAAATGACTACTATAACCAAGCAGGGCACTATATGGACCAAGGTGAAAGATTCTTTAACAGAGGATATAACCATGCACAACAGTGGGTAAACAACAACCAACCGCAACCGCCTCAAACGTGGGAATGTAAAATTTTTTACTGAGATGAAATGAACAATACAGCATTGAGACAAATGGGTTCAAGATGGATTTGTCGGCTTCCAGCAGTTACACAACCACGTGTTTGTCAAGTTCTTCCTATACCTCAAGAAGTTTTAGACCGACTTAAAAAACCTAAACAACCAGTTGAAAACAAACCAAACTAAAATTTTTTACTGAGATGAAATGACCGAAGAAGTTGAAACGGTAGATTTGACACACAAACAAAAAGTTCAGAACCATTGTCAAAACCTGTCAAAGAACTTACAGATGAAGAGAAAAATTCAATAATAGAAAGTGCCAGGTCTGGAAATACAAACCCTAACTATAAAGTCACTTTTCATAGAAATGGAACGGCTAGTATCTCAAAAAGAAACAGACTCTCACAAATAAAATATTGAAGTCTGAAGGAGCTTTCGAGACAACAGATGGGAAGGTATTCTTCACTGACCAACAGTTCATTATAGAACATCTCATTGACTTAGAGTCGAAATATTCTAAACTTTACAACAAACACAAAAAGTTGAAAGGAAAACAAAAACAAATGGCATATGATATTTATGAAGATGTTGACGACACAACTATTCCTGCAAGTGAAGTAAAGTCAGAGGAACCGAAAAGTGACGAAAAACCGATAGAAGAAGAAAAACCAAAAACTGAAGATAAACCAAAACCAAAGTTTAGTTTCCAAACTAAACCAAGTCAACCTTCATTAGCTGGTATGGGTTGGCGTCAAAGACTTATGGCAGCCGGTGGTTATGTTAAGTAAAGTAAAAACATTTTTTTATTTTTATAAAAATGCCCTCGCATAGAATGGATAGAAGGTCTGCTAGAATAAAAGCAGAGTTAGAAAGATATGGTTGGAGAGTTTCGAAGAATTTTAAATATAGGAAGGGAAGACCCATAAAAGTCTATGACAAATTGTCTGGTCTTCGCTATGAAATGGACTTAGAAACAGCACGCGCAAATTATCCAAACAGACTAGAGAGATTAGAAGAAGAGCGTCTTATGAACTTGCCTTTCGATGTTAGTGAGCCGCAGGTTGAAGGACACGACGGCTTTGCCAGGTTCTACTGGAAACATAACGAACAGTTGCATCCTTTGAGAAGGAAAAAAGGAAAAGGTGAAGATGCACATGCTCCCATGGAAAGAACAAGATATGCATATGAAAAGTACCGTGAAGTTAGAAGTCAAATTACATCTGGTCGAACCTTTACAGTAAACTTTGACGAAGGAAAGAACAAAGAAGGCTTCATGGGTGTACTTGCTGCCATACAAGACGGAAATAAGAAAGGATACAATCTCAGATTGACCATAACAGATTTGGATGGTCACATTTACTATGCACATGGCAATGTCACAACAGCCGCACAACTTCTTGACGCTTTCAAGACTACAAAGAGAGAACAAATGTATGACTCCGACTCAGACATCTTAAATGCAATTGAAGGAATTGTAAGCGTGAAGTTCGAATGGTACCAACCCAACCCTCAAGCAGTCAGACAACATGCTGGATACTTCCCGTTCAGAAATAAGTCTGACATTGACTTGACAAGGTATGGAATTTACAATTCAATTGAAACAATTGTCAATGAACCTTGCATTCTTACATGTCTCAGGAACTCTGGTCTTGTTACAGAAGAGAAGATGAAGTATCTTGAGTCATGTGTGAAGACAAGGTACATTCTCAGAGGTCAATTGGCAAAAATTGCACCGTTGGCAAATGTCAATATCCGAGTCAACATACCTACAGCTAAAGGTTCTTCACATGACGACTATGTTGTTGAGTTCAATTTACCATGGTTGAAGATTGCAATTGTCCACAACCACTTCATGTTGAACGAAAGTCTTACAAACCCATTGTTCGGAAAAGGCAAGTGCAACATTGTCAGAGCTGTTAACATTCTTTTCGAGAAAGGTTTGTTGGAACCAATTCCAGATGACAAGCTGACAGAAACTTTTGTACCAAAAGACGAAACAAACTTTTCACTGTTAGCAAGACCAAAAGTTGTTCCAGACAAAGTTCTAGTACAAAAGAAGTACACAATTCCAAAAGGAGTTGGATTGTTCGGATACCAACCTGAACCAGAAGAACTTCCAATGAGGTTGCAAGAACTTCAAGATGCTATAAACAAACTTCCATTGAGACATCCAATTGACGTCAAATTGTATTGGAGAGCATCTGAGTTAGGTCAGAAGGTTTTATATGAAACAGGTTGCTTCGACGATGTTTATGAGATAACAGGAGAAGTTTCTCAGAAGATAAGAGACTCACTTGAATTTCCACGAACTGGTCCGATTGGATGCGACAAGTTCGACTCAGATGAAAAGATATACTATGTCGACCTTAACGCTGCATACATGAGGTTCGTCCAATATATCCCGACTGGAATTCCAAACGAAGACGGTGAGTTCCCGGGAAGGAACTATACAGTTGGAAAGGTCATACAACAACTGTATGATATTAGGAAAGCTTCAAACCCCAAACTTGCAATGACACTCAAATTGCTTATGAATTCGACATGGGGATATTCCATTAAGAAACCTCAAGAGATGAAGAGTAAACATTATGAGAAGGTCGACAACTTTGTTGAAAGGTTTTCTCCTTTTGTTTTGAAGTACGAATTCACTCAAGGTCAAAGTGGCTTAGTAACCACATTAAAACCTATTGTCGAACATTGGTCTTACCCTCAGTTCGCAAAGGCAGTCCTTGACAACTACAACAAATTCTTCTCGGAAGTCAAATCCAAAGTGAAGGTTTACTATGAGAACATTGACGCACTCATGACAAACGAAGAAGGATACAACAAACTCATTGAAATGGGTTTAGTCGGTGAGAAGATGGGCTGTTTTAAGCTAGATAAGGTATTTTCCGAAGTTCATGTTTCTCTCCAAACGTAAGTACTGGGGCATACTTGAAGACGGCACAGAAATAAACATTGCATGAAATAAAAAATTGCATGAAGTAAAAACGTTTTTAAAACAATATATTTTACATATATTTAAATGCTTCAGGTTGAAAAACAAAGAACAAAAGTAGCAGATACAAAACCTTAGACTATATGTTTACAAACGCCGGTAGGAATATATCAGATGAAGAAATTTCATCCCGAATTGTCTTTCATATACAACTACGGAAAAAGTGCTGAAAAAGTATTGAAAAATATATTTTAGGTGAAGAGGTGAGATTTCACCTGTTTTTTCACCTGTTTTCTCACCCGTTTGAATTTTCATGAATTTTGTGCTGAATTCGACAAAATGAGTTTTTGGTTGAAAAAGAGGTGGAGCCAAAAGTGGCTTAACCTCAAAACAAGCATTTTGTGAAGAATATACCAACCCGCGGATTCCGGCGGTTGCTTTTTATACAAGTTCAACAGGTGAATTTTCATGAATTTCCTTAAGATAGAAAAAAATATTTTAGGCGACCAGGTCACTCGGTCACTCGGTCACTCGGTCAACTAACATCTTTTTGAAAAAGTGTGACAACATGACATTTTGACAACAACACAGGAAATAGATTTCATCGTATATTTTTGTTAAGACTTCATCGTAAATGTTTTGTTGAGACTTCATCGTATATGTTTTGTCGAGATTTTTATCGTTGTGGTCCGACGGTTAAGCCACAAACGAATGTCCGACGGTTAAGCCACCAAAAAATATTTTTTATTTTTATTGTAAGAACTGAAATGACAGTCGAAGCAAAAACGTTCACGAACAAATCTAATGGCGAAACATTCACAAAAGGCACTTACAACGGTATTGAAGTCTTACGTAGAGACATGGATGGTTATGTAAATGCAACAAATATGTGTCAGCAGTTTAGGAAAGACTTTAGAAAGTTGTTGGAAAATAAGTCCTGGAAGAGTATTTTGAGGCATTTTGTGAAGAATATACCAACCGCCGGAATTCCGGCGGTTGCTTTTTATACAAAGTTCATGCAGGAATTCCGGATGAAATCAAACATGTTAGAGGAACGTATGTAGACCCAAGACTTGTAAACTATATAGCAATGTGGGCCTCTCCAAAAATATTGTATAGCAGTTGGAAAAATTATGGACTCCATAGACAAGAAAGTTCATGAGAAATTAGATTGAAGAAGAACTTGAAGATACAGTAGAGAATGCTAAACCTTTGTTCGAAGAAGAAGTTAGAAAAATGCATGAAAAACAAATAGAACATGAACGTGAGATATGTTCTGGTATATAGAGACTCGCCATACGAACTAGACCAATGGGAACAAGAAGATTTAAAGAGAGAATTTAGAGAATATGAACTCGCTAAGATAGCATTAGAAGCTGCAGAAGAGAGGTTAAAAGCTTGGGGTTGTTTTGTACAAAAATATTGTGAGTAAATGAACCATTTTTTTTCGACAAAAATATATTTTAGGTGAAGAGGTGAGATTTCACCCGTTTTCTCACCTGTTTTCTCACCTGTTGAATTTTCATGAAATTTCCTTAAGATAAAAAATATATTTTAGTTTTTTATAAATATTTTTTTTTATTTTATTGTAAGAACATGTTAGCAACAACTTCACCAAACTCGTTAGTCATGAATCCTACGTCAATGTTAGTAGAAATGAAAAGCTTCATTCCTTCTTCATATACTTTCGAAACAGAAATCCAGAAGATAAAGCAAGAACTTTTAACAAGTAATTTAGATTGCACTGCGAAAGATGAAACAAATGAAGAATATCTTTATGAAATGCAGGACATTATTGACCATCTACCTAAACTTCCTGAAATCCAACAACAAAAGCTCACTATTCCTGAATTCGATGAAATAGAAGTCAGACCAACCGACTCAGTAGAAATAAAGAAGTTCATACGTAATGTAAACTATGAGTTTTAGGATTTCATTGCAACCACAAAGTCATGGACAAAGACTGCGATATGGTATATAAGAATGTTTCTGACATTATAAATCTGAAGAATTTAAGACCTACGACAACTTTGTTTCGTTAGTTGCTGAAATGTGTATGGCAGATAAGAGATAAAGATAGAAGAGGTAAGGTATGAATGAACAGATAAAACCAGCAACTTTTTGAGTTAAAGAAAACCATTGACGCTATAGTTGTACTTGCAGGACAAATTTCAATGTACAATGCTAAAATGAACCCACAATGTTCTAAATGTAAAGCAGCAATGAGGAAATATAACTACTCCGTCAAAGAGATAGAAAGAATGCGAAACGACTATGCTGACTTAAAAGAAGAAGCAGAGAAACCAGCAGAAAATAAAATGGACATGTTAGAATTTCTGAACAAAAACTATCCAACAGCAGACGATTTCCTTCTATCTGATGTCAAGAAGAAGTATAAAGAAACTTTCGGTATCGTTAAAACATTTGACATACTAAAAAGAGAATAGAAGCTACGAAATTGTTTAGGATTTCAAATATACATCGTACAATTCATGTAAAACGCTTGTTGAAAAAAAAGAGGTGAAAAATTAGGTGAAAAAAAGAGGTGAAATCTCACCTCTTCACCTAAAATATATTTTTATTGAATTCAGCAACAAAATTCTGAGTAAAATAATTTTAGGGCATGTGTCAAACCGTTGAGTTTTCACAAAATTTTAAAAATAACTTGGGTGAGAAAAGAGGTGAGAAAAACGGGTGAGATGTCACCTTCTACCCTAAAATATATTTTTGCTGAAAAATGACCAAATTTCATGAATTTCCTTAAGATAGAAAAAATAAAGTTATTTTTATTTTTTTATTTTTTTTTATCTTGTATGTAAGAACAGAAATGTTAAAACATTGAGTTTGAAACAGTTAGAAAGATAGACAATGACACCAAAGTGGTTAGAATTGGTGATTTAAACGTAAGATACTCAAAGAAATACAAAAAATATTCTTTGTCAGACATTTTATCTCCATCTGGAAAGAGAGCAAAGACTGGGTTAGAAATGCTTCTAGTCAGAAAATTTTGACAAGAAATCCTGAGCTTTTGATATCGGTAAGATTCTATGGAACTACAGCATATCTCATAGACAAAAGTCTTATACCAATAGTTTTGTTATGGTTAGACCCAGTTGTTGGATATAATTTCATAACATATGGTTCATTCGATACTGAACGTTGCAGTGAGGGCTTACTTTACATCGTTCAGAAACCGAAGGACTTCAATACAAAGAGATATAAGATAGGAAGAACATTTAATATAACTAAAAGATATGACAGTACAGTCAATAGAGTTAAGGTTGTGTTCGTTAACGATATGAGAGCTGCAGAAACAGAACTGCTTGAAGTTTTTGAGAAAAAGTATGGTGCTCCCACGAAAGGTAAAGAAACGTTTGAAGTAGATGAGATAGATAGTGCTATAAAATTATTTGACGAAGTTGCTGAAAAATACATGTAAAGCGTTTATTTTTGGTCTTTTGTGAAAGTCAGAAAATAAAGTTAGTTTTATTTTTATTTATTTTTTTATCTTGTATGTAAAGACAGATATGTCAACAACAGAGAACACAACAACTGCTATCGTTCATGAAGCTATAAATGAAGAATACGAGTACATACAGTTTAACAAACAACTCCGTCTCATTCGTTCGGTCAAAGACGATATGTACCAAATGCAAAGTATTTTGACAGCATGTTTTGCTCCAGATACTAAGCTTCCTAAAGACTGGTTTAGGAACCAAAGCACACAAGAACTTTTGAGCGAAGCACAGCGAGACATACTTTTTTCTGAAAATCGTGAAGAACAGCGAGTGGGAGGGAAACCCCAGTCGCCAAAACTCTATGAAAATCGTGAAAAATTGCCAAACGGTTTGAGAGGATATTATGTACATAGACTTCTTGTAAATGCTGTTGCAATGTGGGCTTCGCCTCGTTATGCTTGGAATATTTACAGACTTCTTGACGAAATTCATAGACAAGAACGTGAAGAGCTAGAGAACAAGCTTGAAGCAAAAGACAAAAGCATTCAGAAAAGAATACCACGTTCGGTACCAAAAGGAAAGGAAAAGAACTATAAGTATATGATTTACACTGAAGAGATGGAAAATGAAGAAGACAGAGATATGGTTATGTTGCATTTAGTCAGAAGAAACAACAAAAGCTTTTACGACCTTGCTAAGATTTACAAATCTGACAGAAATTGGTTCTATCGCGAAAACTTACCGATTTCAATGACACCGAATGAAGATGTGAAACAAATAGTTCAAGATACGTTACCTCAAACACACTATGATATGAAAGGTTGTACAATTCTTACCTTCAAAGAAGATTTGCCATTGTTAAAGGAAAAAATAACAGAGTATTTTGACAACTTCAAACAAGTAGAGTAAATTGCACTCTTTA